ATTGAAAATCAGAGTAATCCCCCCCCTACAGAATCCTTATATCCGCCCCTGAAAGCTGTACTGAAAGTTTACAAATTCTACGTTGCCATCTATTGTTATATTTGCTCTGTACTGCATATATATGTAAGTCACAGACAAAGGTTACACGGTACCATGGTAAATCGGACATCTTATTTTTTTAATAGAAAATCACATGGAAAAGCATGTACAATCCCTTTAATCACTTACAGTTGGTGAGCTATGCTCAGCCGTATCTGGAGAAGCTAGGAGTCCTCCTTAAATCTGAGGATAAGAGAGTTGTTTACAACTATATACTGTGGAGGGTTGTAATGGATCTGATGCCGTATCTACCTCCTGATTACCAGATGCCAAGGGTAGAGTTTAGAAAAGTTCTTCTAGGGGTTCTTGCAGAGAGAAATAGGTATTTTTCCCATAATTTTTGTTAAATCTGAAGAATATTAAAAAGTGATTGATTAAACTTTTTCTTTAAAGATATTGTTGCTCTTTATGAAAATACTCATGGAAACACGTTTCTCCCTTTTTTTGCCAAAACCTAATTTTTGTTGCAAAAAAAATAAGTTTTTGCCGCAAACTCAAATTTTCTAATCTCAATATCTTTGCAACCAGTGTAAACCTTTGGTATTTCAAACTTAAAATATTTGGTCTAACAGAATTCATAATTTAAAATATAAATGGTTTAGCATATCGGTATGCAGAAATATAAGATTTGAAAAATTGAGTTTGTTACAAAAACTGGATTCCTATCGTGGATTTTAAAAATAGTCTTTGTTTATTTTTAAATGAGATAAGATAATTAATCTGACAAAATCATGATTACTAAATCAAGAATTTAGCATCATGTGTACAATCAAATTGAAGAGTTCAAAGTACAGAAATTATTTATTAAATCCATGAATTTGACAGAACAAAACACGATGATTATCTCTTTCATTATTCGTTATATTAATTTTTAAATTCCTTCCACAATAACCAGGTGAACTTTTTATGGATAAAACAATCTATTCAAAAAGTAATATTGAAAAAAATGTTTGTTTTTTTCATTTTTTCTATTTCAATTTAATAATTTTATTTAAAGATGGAGCATGTGTGTTGAGTGGGTTAATAAAAAGATGGGTATGGCTGTCGGGTCTCTCTTTGTTAAAGATCATTTTAACCATGAGAGTAAAGCTGTTGCTCTAGAGATGATTCATGGGATCAGGTAACATTTGTATTCTCAAACCTGGGACCGAACATAAATTTGAGCTAGGTTGCTGAATTGTCTGCTGCCGGTTCAAAGGAATTGAGTCTTTGCCACAAACTGTGAATTTCTAAGTCCTATATCTTTGCAACCCAATGTTCTAGACCATGACATCAGGTTACAAGATATAGGGATAAGAATTATAGTTTGAGGCAAATGTTCATTTCTACTTGTCATGATTAGCTTTGATGCTATATTGTTAAGCAATGTCTGAACATTAATAAAATATTTTACTAACCTCCTGTCCTTTGCGTGTAGTCTGTGTTTTATGTTTGTTTTCTTTAGAGAAGTGTATAATGAATTACTCTCTGCTTTAGAGAAGTGTATAATGAATTACTCTCTGCTTTAAAGAAGTATATAATAAATTACTCTCTGCTTTAGAGAAGTATATAATGAATTACTCTCTGCTTTAGAGAAGTGTATAATGAATTACTCTCTGCTTTAGAGAATAATGAATTACTCTCTGATTTAGAGAAGCGTATAATGAATTACTCTCTGCTTTAGAGAACTGTACAATGAATAACTCTCTGCTTTAGAGAAGTATATAATGAATTACTCTCTGCTTTAGAGAAGTATATAATGAATTACTCTCTGCTCTAGAGAAGTATATAATGAATTACTCTCTGCTTTAGAGAAGCGTATAATGAATTACTCTCTGCTTTAGAGAAGTATATAATGAATTACTCTCTGCTTTAGAGAAGCGTATAATGAATTACTCTCTGCTTTAGAGAAGTATATAATGAATTACTCTCTGCTTTAGAGAAGCGTATAATAAATTACTCTCTGCTTTAGAGAAGCGTATAATGAATTACTCTCTGCTTTAGAGAAGTATATAATGAATTACTCTCTGCTTTAGAGAAGTATATAATGAATTACTCTCTGCTTTAGAGAAGCGTATAATGAATTACTCTCTGAAAACCATTGGATGGACGAAGAAACCAGAGCTGTTGCAAGGGACAAGGTAGGCTCAAAAAAATTAAAATTTTTTTTTTCAAAATTAAATTTTTTTTTCCCAAGGCGAACTCGATGAATGAAAGGATTGGGTATCCTGATTATATTCTTAATGAGACAGCTCTTCTGGAAGAATATGTTTATATCTCGCTCTCCAACGATTCCTTTCTTGGTATTATAATATTCCTAATGTCCTAATGAAAATTTTAAAACTTTTTGCAATGAAATTGAGTCAATGCCACAAACTCAAATTTTCAAATTCCTTATCTTTGCTATCTGAGTGTATACGCCTTTGATATTTCAAATTGTATATGGTTTAATCTAACAGATGTCATAGTTTGAAATATCTAAGGTCAATAATATTGGGTAATAATAGATATATAGAAATTGAAAATCAGAGTAATCTAGGAAACGAATCAATTTGAAAAGGTACATATTTCTAAACACTTTTACTTATTAGATAATATTTTGAACATGATGAAGATGGAGTCTCTGAAGAATTTAGGAAAACTGGGAAAACCAGTGAACAAGGAAAAGTTATGTCTCAATTAAAATTCCTACAATATTATTCTGAATTAAAATTCCTACAACAATATTAATCTGAATTTTTTTTAAATTAATTATTCTTGGTGAACTAATGAAAAAGGGGGGGGGGCATATGAAATATGATTTTTTGTAATTAGTAAAATGCAATTTTAAGTTTAGTCTTTAACAGAGCCTGTAACTCTTGATAAATTTCGAGGATTCAGTGTATTTAAGAATAATAAGATAATTCATCTCTGACTCACAAGAGATCTACGAATAAGAAACTTAAGATTCAAAAGTTTCTTTAGAGAACTTAAAGTTAGACTACGTAGCTCAGCTCTTTTGTGATAAAAGTTTCTAACCACGATTTTCTTGAAACTTTCGCCTTGAAATGCATAAATTGCGTTTAGATGTTTATGATTGAAAAACGGAGGGGGGGGGGGGNAATGTTTCTATAGTCCTAACAAGAACGATATAGTTATCCCGGCAGGTAAATGTTTCTATAGTCCTAACAAGAACGATATAGTTATCCCGGCAGGTAAATGTTTCTATAGTCCTAACAAGAACGATATAGTTATCCCGGCAGGTAAATGTTTCTATAGTCCTAACAAGAACGATATAGTTATCCCGGCAGGTAAATGTTTCTAATCTTGTGTTGAAAAGGACTGTAAGCGTAATTTCAAGTAAACCGTAATGCAAAGATGGCAATTCCCGATTTATAACGGTCTTGTCAATATTCCAGAAAGCTGTGACTTTCGATCACAATTTTGCTATAAGACATAATTTTTTAGCCCTTTTCATAAAATAATTTTTTTCCGACAAATACATTTTGAATGAAAAGTCTAAAACAAACAAAACCGTAAGTTTAAAGATTGTTTGATTAAGATTCCAAATAGAAGATACCGAATGCTTCTAACTCTGGTTAGTCCAGGGTGAACGTTATCCTTGAAACCTTAATCAGATAAAAAATGTGGAAGATACCGTCGTTTTTCTTACTCAAAAAGTGTTTATTTTTCCGAATTTCTCCGTTCATTCTAACAAACAAGAAATGCGCAAGTCTTTTCGCAGAGAAACCGCAAATGAAAATAAACAGCTTAAATAAACAAAACATAGATATCTATAATTGTTATAATGATATGTATTATCCTATTGGCGAACAGCTTTTATTAATCTGTATACATATATTTCTTGGCATCTTGATACAGACAACTTAATGAAAGATAGATTAAAATAGATCTTCTTCTTTCTGAAGAAAAGACTTTACGATTAAAATCAGCGAAGATGTTTATACGAATTATTTTTTTAAATTCATTTATAAGATATTCACTGAAATTCCAATGTCAATTAGCATATTTTCACAAAAAAATCAATTTGCACAAAAAATTATTCCTACTCGTTTATTTCCAAATTGAAAAAAACACAAAAAAAAATAACCTGATTGATTCAAAGAATGCTATCCGACATACCAAACTTTAAAGTGTTAAAATCTTATTAACTTGTATTATTATGTTCCAGGGATCTTACAGCCTCTTTTCTATAGCAAAAACTTCCCTAAAAGTTTGAACTACGGTGGCATAGGAGTTGTTATTGGACATGAGATCACTCATGGTTTTGATGACAAGGTTAGTTCATTTTTCAAAACTTTTAAAGGGATTGTAGGCATAATTTCAAGTTATCTTCAATGCAAAAACGGCAATGCCCGATTCACAATAGTACCCTTGAAACCTTTAACAGAGCTGAAAACTCTAGAATAAGATATCATTAATTCCGATTACTTAATCTGAGTATCCAATGGACACACTTTTGATTTTCTTTTTAAACCATTCTTTCTTGGATATAGTAGGGAAAAATCAAAAACCGTCCCTACCGTTTCTGTATATTAATCTGAGATGGCGCGCAAAATTTCAAATTTATCAGCTTCATATACGCGACTTTGATTGGTTGAATTTTATACACTTTACAGGATACAACTGCAAGATTAAGTTAGTCTCGATATTAAGAAAAAGAGAGGATCAGGCATTAATCTCGATATTCATTATTCCAAAGATTTTAGCTTTGGTCTATTATGTGAAAGATATTGTCATTACTCTAGGTTATAAAATGTTTAAGTCTGATAATTTCTATATGTTTTTCTGCAGTAGAAATGCACAAATCGGATTTGTAGGGAATCACAATTGAATTAAAAAATTAAAAATATGGAAATAATTCCCTCTTGATCAGAAACCTGGTTTAGGGGTACCGTTATAAATCAGAATCACTGTCACATAATAAATCCTCTCTTGATGTCAAGGTTAATGATATGCAGTGTGAATCCTGTTGGTTCAGATTTGTTTTTACATTCACATCTCGATAGTTTCTATTTTAAAATTTGACAAAGTAATCTGAATATCAAGAGAATGTATTTTCAAATTGTCTTGTCTGTTTGTTTATATCCAATACACGCCAAAACCCCGGAAAACGAACCAATCTGGCCCAAAGAGTTTTGCCACAAACTCAGATTTTATAATCACTTTGAAACCCAATGTTGTAGGTGTTAGATATCTTAAACTTTAGATTCTAAGCTTGAAATATAAAAAGGTTTACGCCGTCAAGTTGCTTAAAAAAGGGATTGTAAAATTTAACTTTGTGGCAAAATTTAGTTTACTTGTTGTGATAAACGCAGAAAAAATATTTTATTTAAAAGCTGAAATTGTTACAGTGATAACCAGAAAAGTGTGGAATATGAAAGCGGCATCAAAGCATTTGATGTTGTTACAAAGCGAATGCCTTACTCATTACGTGAAATGGGTCTGTTTACACTGCACGATTCTTGTGCCTCAAGTTCATTGGAATATTTAGTCATAAATTGAGTCTAAAAGTCGACTTACTATTACAGAGTTTTCTGGTTATCACTGTACTAGAAAATAGAACGCGAATCGCCGGAAACCTTGTAATTTTTAGATGAAAAACTTGTAATATCTTGTAACCAATCGTTTAAAAAATTTTCCATTCTTCCTTTAAAACATAAAACTGGTAGGAAAATCCTCTTTCAGAACTAAACCAATTTTCCTGAACATAAATATTGATGGTGATGAAACTTTCAGTGTTAAACCTTGAAATTTAAACTTTAGGGTCGACAGTTTGATAAACATGGTAACCTTCAGCAGTGGTGGAACAATCACACTATTTCAAGATTCAGAAAACAGGTAAATAATATAATCTTAACAAGATTGTTTACATAACTATATACAGTGAGACCCATAAAATTGTGGAATAGAAGGAAGACATATGTGCATTGTGTATTTGATGTTGTTAAAAAGAAAAAGTTTTACCAGCAGTTGAAAATCAACTTGTGTTTGTCATGTTTTAGACTATTTAGTTAGTCTTTTAGTCGTCTTCTAATTTCACAGTTGTGTCTCACTGTATAATCAAAATGAGATGTAAAACAAACATTGTGTTAATCTTGTACTCGTATCGCTTAATGCACCACCCATATTTTTAAAACTTTTTAAAAAGAATTTCAGAATGATTTTTTAAAACTGATTTTTTCTGGATGGCTCAAGTTGTAAATGTAATGCAAATTATTTTTAAATAGATGAAAAAGCATTTTTTGTTTAAACTGTTTTTTAAATAAAGTTAATTCAGGGGAAATTAGTTCCAAAACTAAAACTTGGTTCATTTCTAACGTTGAGTGTTAGAAATGAATCAAATCTGCAAAGTTATCTTTTCCAAGCATATATATCTATAAATCCAAGCCAAGTTGAACAAAACTATACCATACATTTATAAAAATGGCTAAAACTATATTGAAGCCAAAAATGTTAACTTTAAACTAATAATAAGGTGTGAGCATTAGTTTTTGAGATCATATCAATGTCAATTGTCAAGCATTTACCCACTTACGTAACAAAACAAGATTTTTGATAAGGTAAAATATAAACAAAATGGAAAAATTAATACATACTGTTCTTTAATAATTTTAAAATCATTAAAGCATTGAGAAATCAAAATATTAATATTTACAACATATTTTTTACTTTCAGTGATTTATTTTGTAAGTTATAAAATTCAGTTTTGTTCTGAAAAGTGGATTATACTCAAAAACGGGAAAGTGGGTTTTGTCTCGAAAACGAGACAATGATTCAACTTCAGGATATGTTCTTAAAACGGTCAAGGGTTTTAACATAACAAGAACTCCTTTTATAATTTTGTTTTTAGAAAATTGTTTTAAATTTGGAATTGTTGTCCTCGTTATGCTTAACAAAATGTTGGTTATAGTTTGTATTATTGACTTTTACTTTCGATATATAGGCCGGGATCCGAAAACCCCAGTCTTTCAATTTGTGCCCATTTCTCACACTTAGTTTTAGAAATGGGTCAAGTGTTAGTTTTGGAACTAATGTGTCCTGTAATTAGCCTAGTTCATTAGCCTAGATAAAGTTTCTAGCAAGCAGGCAATTTGTTGATGTTATATGTTATATGTAATTCATATGATGATGAGAATATTTACATTGTATGCATTTATCTATCAGCTGGTGCAAAAAGTAAATTTTTATATTTGATGTTTTCGAATGTACATGGAAAATTTTCATAGTTTTGTTTTTAGCTTAAATTTGAGTATATTCGACGATGGCAAATGACTTTTTAATTCATAAACATCTTCGTTTGAATTTTATGTTACAACAATTCGAGAGGGAGAACATTTATTAAATTAAGAATTGTTTGGTTACAACTTACTAGCTTTTTCATTTCCTAAATTCATTTGTCAATTACTGAGTTGTTAATGTAGCGCCACCCTATATTGCAAGGCAAAATTCGCCACATACAGAGCGTCTCATATCATATTAGATTATCTCCGAGTTATAACGCCAAAATAAAACCATATTTCTTAAAAAAACTTGTATTTTCCGCAAGTAAATTCTTAAATTAGCCTTATTAAATTTTTCAAAATTATTCTTCTTCTTAAATTTTCTGATTAGTCCCGCAAATCGCAAATCGTGGGACACCCTGTATTAACTAATCGGTGGTGCCCAAGTTTAACGTTGCGCCGCCATGGGATAGTATTTCTTAATAAAGTAATATAAAGTTTAATAAATGCAAGAATATATGTAGAAGCAATAAAACCAGTTCATGGTTATTAAAGGAACCATTCTTGATAAATTATTGCTTCAATATAAAGTCTAATATACAATAAATTAGATATCAAGAACTTGAAATACAAAACTATTCTAAAGTAAAGTTCTAAAACACGTTTCATTTATGTTTAATAAAACTAAAAAACAAGATATAAGTCCCCGATCAAAGCTTGGCTCAATTAAATTGATAATTATTAGAATTCTTAGATGTTTCAAAATCCCTACAATCTGAGTAAGTTTGTCTATAATCTATCTGCTAACGTAAAACCCAGAAATAAAATGTCGAGATCTTGAACTTTTTCTAAATAGTGATTGTTTTTCCGGAATGTGGCTTTCATTTTTTTGTAAAAATAAATAGAAATTCTTGAAAAATGAAGGTACAGTTTAAAGTGCTCCATATAATTATTCAATTAAAAAAATTATATCTGCAACATTCCATTATCAATAGGTTTAGAAAACGATATTCTATGAATTTTTTCGATATCTCCGACTAGGGTTTTAAGCTCATAATAACATGTTTGTTTGAAAATTTTCTGTAAAATCATTTTTAAAAGAATTCTTAGAGGTTTTGAAATCAAGGCAATCTGAAGAGGTTTATTAATATGCTACAAGTTTATTAAGCTTATACTAAGTTCATTTTACATATTTGCTCTGCAATTCATCAACTATTTATTTTTATTTGATTGTTCAGGCTAAATGTATTGTGGATCAGTATAGTTCCTACAAGATAGACGGAATAGACCTAAATGTCAACGGTAAAATGACCCAAGGAGAAAATATAGCAGACAACGGAGGTCTGAAACAGGTAAATTATTTTCGTTTTTTGTTCTTTAGATTCTTTATTAATCGAGAAAAAATCCATTGTAATTTATGGTAGACAGTAGACAGTAGACAGTATGTAGGCCTGTATGCTGTCAACAAGATTAATAAGAATGATAAATATGCAGATTAATTATTGTGCGCTGAACATATAAACAACATTGTCTGGCAGAGTACAGGCATTCTCCCCATAGTCCTTAAGAAAACTAAATTCTAAAATATAAAGATTTGATATAATTTCATATAATAAAACAAGACATTTAAATATATGTTTCCTCTGGCCGCATGCATTTTCGAGAAATAACACAAATCAAAATAAACAGTTTAAAAAAACAAACAAAAGTATTGAATCTAATTCATAATATTTGACAAGACAAAGCTTTTAAAAGTACAGTTGTCAATCGGGCATTGTCATCTTTGCTTGGATGGTTACATGAGAAATTACAAAGGTTGTATAATAACGTTCCTTACTCTCGATGCGATCCAATGTACGGGAAATGTCATTGTTTTGGAATAGATAGATAGAATCCGTATATGATGTCAAATGCTCTCTCACATCTTTTATCAGTGACGTCATATAAGGATTTTTCTATCTATGCTTAGAAGACGCCATTTCCTGTACATTGAAGTAAGCAACCTTAATATACAGCCTTGGAAATTACGCTTACAGTTCCTTTAATATTTAGTCGTATCGAGCCTATAAGAAGTGGGTTGCTATCCACGGTGAGGAAGCTGAACTTCCAGGACTAAACCTTACTCATGAACAGCTCTTCTTCCTTAACTATGCCCAGGTCAGGATACAGGGTGTACTAATACGTGTGTTGGTTTTCTTGGGTGTCCAATAAACATGCTAAGGTTAACCTGAAATACAGGGTGTACCAATAAACATAAAAAATTGAGACACTGGGTGTCCCATTAATCATAACAATTGAACTTCAACATTAAAATCGTTTCCATTAATTCTTTTTAAGGACGAATCTAAAAACATTCCAAAATATGGTTTACAAGAAAGAATGATAAATCAAAGACGATTGAACGAATTTTAAGTTTATAGATATTTGTTCTTGTATCTCCCTAGATTTTGTGTGGATCTATGCGTCTTGAAAATACTGAAACTAAACTCTTGTCTAGCTAACTTTTCTTGTTTCTACCGGATCTGGTGTGGATCTATGCGTCCTGAACATACTGAAACTAAACTCTTATCTTTCTAACTATTATTGTTTCTACCTAGATCTGGCGTGGATCTTTGCGTCCTGAAGATTATGAAACTAAATTCTTGTCTCTCTCACTATTCTTGTTTCTACCTAGATCTGGTGTGGATCTATGCGTCCTGAAGATGCTGAGACTAAACTCTTGTCTAGCTAACTATTATTGTTTCTACCTAGATCTGGTGTGGATCTATGCGTCCTGAAGATGCTGAAACTAAACTTCTGTCTAGCTAACCATTCTTGTTTCTACCTAGATCTGGTGTGGATCTATGCGTCCTGAAGATTATGAAACTAAATTCTTGTCTCTCTCACTATTCTTGTTTCTACCTAGATCTGGTGTGGATCTATGCGTCCTGAAGACGCTGAAACTAAACTCTTGTCTAGCTAACTATTCTTGTTTCTCCCTAGATCTGGTGTGGATCTATGTGTCCTGAAGATGCTGAAACTAAACTCTTGTCTAGCTAACTATTCTTGTTTATTCCTAGATCTGGTGTGGATCTATGCGTCCTGAAGACGCTAAAACTAAACTATTGTCTCTCTAACTATTCTTGTTTCTACCTAGATCTGGTGTGGATCTATGCGTCCTGAAGATGCTGAAACTAAACTCTTATCCAGCGTTCATCCTCCTGGTCCAATCAGAGTTATTGGTCCTTTATCCAACTCAGTCGAATTCTCAAAGGAAAATCTTCAGTTTTAACCAAATTAAGTTAAAAGGAAACTATTTACTTTAATATAACATGAAATACACATAGTTTTCCTTCATATTTCACGGGTTTCCGGGTAATACTGTATTTGATTAGTTTTGATAGATTTTATTAATCTGTAATTAAAATGATATTTAATAATTGATCAAGATCTGAATTAAGAAATATGTCTAACAAATATAAACACTGAATTTGATTTGACTAATAAGTATTTATATATCAATACTTTGCTCATATGATCAAGAAAATTTTCATGTTGGTTCACAAAACACTTTTTTATATAATTTCAGAATTAGAAGCAATTTTTTCTAATTTAATAAAATAATTTAGCATTCATTAATCAATCTACTTGAACAATTAAAACAGCCAGAAAGGCTTTATTTATGGTTAAAATGTTATATAGACTAATTAAAACTGAGAATATACAGGCATATGGATGTCCTGTTGGTTCTAAGATGAACCCGAAGGATAAATGTTCTGTCTGGTAGTCACTATCAACAAAATCCAACAAAAATATTGAATTTATATTTTTATCTCAGAAACTATCAATTTAAACATTCTTGATGTTTTAGTGTCGTATTTAACATTGGTGTTAAGAGACTAATATTGATTGCTGTGACACCTGGAGTAAAAATCTCTAATCGTTGGATCCAATCAAACAAAAATTCTGTTTACGTAATTTTTAAATAATACTAAAAAACTACAATTTCATTTGAAGAAAATGGTCGCGGATTTGAGAAATGGACATTTTAAAATCAGATAATATACAGTTCATGTTTTAAATAGGTTTTCTGTACTTAGTATAATGGCACTCGCCATTTTAGTGGAGAAGTCAGCTGTTTAGTGTAATAAGCTGTTCAGCTTGGAATCAGCTGTTCAGTTTAAAATTAGCTGTTCAGCTTGATTTCACCTGTTACACTGATTACAAACCACGTGAAATGTAACGCCCTTGGCAGAAGTATTTCTCAAATAAATTTTTTAATAAACCACTTAATGACTTTTACAATTTACTAAATCCCGCGATCGTTTTCCTTTAAAGATAGTGACCACCCAATTTACGAGTACTAATCAAGAAACCTCATAAGCGATTATTTTGTATATGTTAAATTGTTCCTGTACAAATATATAATATATTATAAATGTAAATATTTTATAAATAAACTTTCTCTTCTAACTTTTTTGTAAACTTTTTGTAGGTCAAACACTACTGTTCGTTGGTTTGTTGAAGTAAGTCTTTATTATACATCAAAAAAAATGTTCTTTTTTTCGAAGCTCAATATTATTATGGGTTAAATTTGATTGTAAATTGTACTTTTTTGTTTGTACTGAAAAGATAATAGATGTGTACTGTCTAGATGTGTACCGCAGTAAACAACCTGGAGCATGTTTTTAAACATTTCGAATGTTCAGCTTCAGAACTAGGGATGTCTCAACCCTTATCTCAGGTTAGATAGTTTTATTCATGTTTTTAAAGGAATGTTCAGAAAAAGGAAATTTGTATCCAGTCCAATTGACAAAAATATCTGAACACTCCTTTAAATAAAGTATTTGCACATAGTCATACTCGAGCTCAAATGTTTGCACGTACTCGAGCTGAAATGTTCGCACATACTCGAGCTCAAATGTTTGCACATACTCGATCTCAAACGATTTTCAAAAAGTACACAATGCTTTACAATTATTTAGAAAAATCATATATGGAGATATTTACGCGTAATAATGAAATAAATATTGTCAAGATTTTCAATTTTATAGGTTTTTTGATACAGGGTTACCCACAAAGGATGAGACTGTAAAGACGATACAAAACTCTAAAACCATGACGATTTGAAGTTTGATTTTTGGTTTCTGCATTTAATTGAGTATTTTGATGGTTTATTAAATGGTTAAGCACTGAAATAAGGCAGCTATGGCCGACAAGAAACCCGGCCTAAATGCAAGAAAACCAACTAAACAAATTCCGTACAATCGTCTCTGAAGTCTCATCCTTTGTGGGTAACCCTGTAGTTTGAATTATATTTTCATGAACTAAAGATAAATCAAGATGTTTTTTTTAAACTTCAGATCCAGGGTGTTCCAATAAACAAGTGAAGAATTTCAGATACTTTCTGTTTAGAATTTACAAAAAGTGATTTGTGATTTTAAATGTCATAGTGAAGTTATGTCTGCTAGAGCATATATTTTGTAAACGGTAAACGTCTGTTTTTTCATTTTGCAAAAAGGTTCTGTGATGTTCTGTAATATTTCTGCAAGATAAACAGTGAAGAGGGACAACTGTACTTTGTTTTTATAAAGAACCCAAAACTTAAGACAGGGTATCGTTATGAAAACCAGTTTTGAAACCCAGGTTTCGCGAATGGGGTTAGGCTGGTTTGTGGATATCAATGTTTTTGTCATGAAATATTTTTTTATTTAGTTTCTTCATATTCTACATTTTTTTAAATCACTTAAATCAAAATCTACACAAATGCTAAGACCCCAAACGGAAACTCGGGAGTATCGTTGGACAAAACTCCCGAGCCCAAAACTTATGAAATATTTTTTTTTTATTTAGTGTCTTCACATTTTCTATTTTTGTCGAATCTCTTAAATCAAATCTACAAAATGTTAAGACCCCAAAAAGGAAACTCGGGAGTTTCGTTCAACGATACTCTTTTAAATTTCGGGCTCAGAGTCCCGAGTTTCCTTTTTGGGGTCTTTAACATTTATGTAGATTTTGGTTTTAGAGATTCGAAAAAAAAATGAGAATATAAACAAACTGAATGAAATAATATTTCATCACAAAAATATTTATATTCACAAAACTGCCAAACCCCTTTCGTGAAACCGGGGTTTTAAAACTGGTTTTCAGAACGAAATCCTGTCTTAAGTTTTGGGCTCAGGAGTTTCTCATTTCAAAACAGCACAACATTAGGCAATCAAAACATAAACAAACAGAGTCTAGGAGATGAACAATTCTACGGATTACAGCTTTCCATAGTAGGTATTACCCTTTCCCACAGACATCACCATAGTAAATCAAAAAACATCACTCAATTCCCATGATTTTTGGGACACCCTGTAGAACCTGTCTATCATTATTATCTTCAGGAGTCATCTGAGAGAAGTGATTACGTTGAAATAAATCCAGTTATTGAACAAACTTTGGCGTACATAGATTCTACAGTGTACAAGATCCTCAGTAAAATACTGATCCAGGTATATATCGATTTATACATTTTGCTTGAGCTGTCTGTTTTTTGTTTGTTTTTGTTTTTGGAACCGATAATCGTCAAAACGGCCAAACGGATCGGGCTCAAATTTTGTGTGGGACCTCACATGTGAACCTAGGGAAGGTTTTAGGTTTATGGAACATCAAAATAAGAAACAAAGTTCCTGAAAAATAGTTCGAGATTTTTTGAAAATGCGCCAATTCGAAAAGAAAAATCCGCCAAAATTGAAAATGATTTAAAAATGCCGACTTCAAAAGCAACACTTAAAAGCTAAAATTATTTACATTTACATATTTACATTTATTAACATTACTGAAAAAGAATGTATTCCATCTGGTCTAATCTCATTTTTCTACACTCTGTATTATAGAGATGGAAGCAGGACTGAAAAAGAATGTATTCCATCTGGCCTGGTCTCCTGATTCTATAATCTATATCATATAGATGGAAGCAGGACTGAAAAAGAATGTATTCCATCTGGCCTGGTCTCCTGATTCTATAATCTATATTATATAGATGGAAGCAGGACTGAAAAAGAATGTATTCCATCTGGCCTGGTCTCCTGATTCTATAATCTGTATTATATAGATGGAAGCAGGACTGAAAAAGAATGTATTCCATCTGGCCTGGTCTCCTGATTCTATAATCTGTATTATATAGATGGAAGCAGGACTGAAAAAGAATGTATTCCATCTGGCCTGGTCTCCTGATTCTATACTCTATATTATATAGATGGAAGCAGGACTGAAAAAGAATGTATTCCATCTGGCCTGGTCTCCTGATTCTCTTCCTATACAAGAAGCAATCTCTCCACTAATCACCTTCCTTACTATTCACTTAACAAGGTAAATTTATGTCGTTACAAAACAAACAGTTTTGTGACTTTTTAAATCATGTATTCAGTAAAATGGGTATCTTAAAACTGGACAATTACTGTGTCTCATGGTCATTGGAGTATTGAAGTCATAACTTGAGTCTAAAAGTCAGCTTTCTATTCCAGAGTTTTAACATTATTTGATCTATTTATGTTTCATCTTTTATGATCCGTGAGATAGTTTACAAATTAAATCTGATCAGTATTTAAGGGTGTCATTTTTTTTCTTCATTTTTTCAACCCCAAAAATTCACCAATAAAGTGTTTTTTATTAGAAAGGGAAAGTCGGTAAAGAGTTTACTAAAATTATTTCAAAGCGTTATTAAACAATAAGCAGCTAGTTAAAAATGCAGAGAATGACAGCTTTAGAACATAAATTTTTTATTTAGGTTTTAAATATGATTAGTTATAACCTGGTTTAAGGCAAAAATATTAAGAAATAACCTCCTTAGTTTGCTAGTATTGCTTTTTGTATAGCTTTAATAGTAAACTGGGAGATATTCAGTTCACTCATGGCGCACTGTTACCTATTGACTAATATTACTATTTAAATAGCTTTAATAACGCAGTGTTAGCTATTTACTAATATTACTACTTATATATTCTGAATGGCGCACTTTTAGATATGCACTACGACAAAATATTACAATTACATTGTTTGAATGGATCATTGTTAGCTATCAACTAATATTACTATTTATATAGTTTGAATGGTTCACTGTTAGCTATCAACTAATATTACTATTTATATAGTTTGATTGGTTCACAGATAGCTCTGAACTAATATTACTATTTATATAGTTTGAATGGTGCACTGTTAGCTGTGAACTAATATTACTATTTATATAATTTGAATGGTGCACTATTAGCTATGAACTAATATTACTATTTATATAGTTTGAATTGTGCACTGTTAGCTATAAACTAATACTACTATCTATATAGTTTGAATGGCTCACTGTTAGCTATTAACTAATTTTACTATTTACATAGTTTGAATGGTGCACTGTTAGCTATCAACTAATATTACTATTTATATAGTTTGAATGGTTCACTGTTAGCTCTGAACTAATATTACTATTTATATAGTTTGAATGAATCACTGATAGCTATAAACTAATATTACTATTTATATAGTTTGAATGGTTCACTGTTAGCTCTGAACCAATATTACTATTTATATAGTTTGAATGGCGCACTGTTAGCTATAAACTAATATTACTATTTGTATAGTTTGAATGGTGCACTGTTAGCTATGAACTAATATTACTATTTATACAGTTTGAATGGTTCACTGTTAGCTCTAAACTAATATTACTATTTATATAGTTTGAATGGTTCACTGTTAGCTCTAAACCAATATTACTATTTATATAGTTTGAATGGTGCACTGTTAGCTATAAACTAATATTACTATTTGTATAGTTTGAATGGTGCACTGTTAGCTTTAAACTAATATTACTATTTATACAGTTTGAATGGCGCACTGTTAGCTCTGAACTAATATTACTATTTATATAGTTTGAATGAATCACTGATAGCTATAAACTAATATTACTATTTATATAGTTTGAATGGTGCACTGTTAGCTATAAACGAATATTACTATTTGTATAGTTTGAATGGTTCACTGTTAGCTCTAAACCAATATTACTATTTATATAGTTTGAATGGTGCACTGTTAGGTATAAACTAATATTACTATTTATATAGTTTTAATGGAGCACTGTTAGCTATGAACTAATATTACTATTTATATAGTTTGAATGGTGCACTGTTAGCTGGAAACTTTCGGCGATGTCTAGTTGTTCTATGGCAAGCCATTCTAGAGAGGCTCCGAGAACACACAGATCCATCAACGGGGGTAGGAGTTTTTATAAAAATTATTACAAATTGTTTAAATAATAAATGGTAAGAGTTATTAGTTTTACATCAATTTCCTTTACAGTCCCTTTACTGTGTATAAACTCTGTATGTTGGCTCTACATTTGTAATATGTATGTAAGCTCTGTATGTAGGCTATACATTAATATCTACGTAAGCTCTGTATGTAGGCTATACATTAATATCTACGTAAGCTCTGTATGTAGGCTAATATGTATGTAAGCTCTGTATCTAGACTATACATTAATATCTACGTAAGCTCTGTATGTAGGCTATACATTAATATCTACGTAAGCTCTGTATGTAGGCTAATATGTATGTAAGCTCTGTATCTAGACTATACATTAATATCTACGTAAGCTCTGTATGTAGGCTAATATGTATGTAAGCTCTGTATCTAGACAATTCATTAATATCTATGTAAGCTCTGTATCTAGGTTAATATTTATGTAAGCTCTGTATCTAGACTATACATTAATATCTACGTAAGCTCTGTATGTAGGCTATACATTAATATCTACGTAAGCTCTGTATGTAAGCTTATATGTATGTAAGCTCTGTATCTAGACTATACATTGATATCTACGTAAGCTCTGTATGTAGGCTAATATGTATGTAAGCTCTGTATGTAAGCTCTGTATCTAGACTATACATTGATATCTACGTAAGCTCTGTATGCAGGCTATAAATCATTGTGTATGCGTTATATATATATATATATATATATATATATATATATATACTCATATTTGTATGAAGATATTTCTAAGAGACTATAAACTCATTTTTATTTACTATTAATCTATGTATGAAGTCTAAGGATAAAAATATATATATTTAGATATTTTTATATTTTTAAGGATTTTTATATTTTGCCAGCTATAATAAATCGCCCTTTCTATTCAGAACATTTATATAAATTCTTTTCAGGCTCATCTTTATATAAAACCAAATATTTCCGAACAAAAAATACATTTTTATCTTTCCTCTTATATATAACTAACTATATAACTAAAAAATTAAAAAGTTAAATGATACCCATGAGTGTCCACCAAAAAATCAATCCATTCTGTCTAACCGTTAGCTTGGCTATAGGGAACATATATACAAATATCCTTTTTTATTATATAGATATATATAATATACATATTTTGTATTTATTTTTTGATATTTTTCCCAAATATTTGGTATTTTTCAAAGGATTCTCAATATCTTTTTTAATGCACATTCAACCCCCTCTAGATTAAAAAAATATATACATATTTATTTACACATTTTTTCTTATTTTAATCAAGGTTTAAAATAAACATACTTTGAAAACAGGAAGAATTTAGAAAATTGTGAGAAGTTACAATTTGACAAATTGATGTAAAACTGTTTGGTTTAGGAGAAAACCCAGTTATTCTATGATCGACTGCACGATGGAGTTCAGGTTGGTCTTTTCTTTCAAGTTAGAAATCTATTTCTTTCAAGTTAGAAATCTATTTGTCTTAAGATAGAAATATATTTGTCTTAAGATAGAAATTAATTTGTTTTAAGATAGAAATCTATTTTTTTCAAAATAGAAATCAATTTGTCTTAAGATAGAAATCTATTTGTCTGAAGTTAGAAATCTATTTTCTCAAGTTAGAAATCTATTTTTCTTAAGTTGGAAATCTATTTTCTCAAGATAGAAATCTCTTTGTTTAAAAAATAGAAATATACTTAACTTAAGATCTTATTTGGACGAATTCGCAGTAAAAAAGGTGAAAATCTTGTGGAACACCACTTCAAACCGAAGCTATGAAACAAACGCTTTTCAGGGTTTGAACTCCAAAACTTTCAAGTTCTATGAATAGTTTTTAAAACTGTGTACAATATTTATATCATACAAAAATGTCACATTTTCTGCAGAAGAAGAATAATTGAAAACACTTCCAGAAGTTTATAGAAAATTAAAGACGAAATTGAAAATAAAAAAAGATGTCTGGATAAATTAATAGTTTTATAAATCTTACCACATTAGTTTTATATTCTTTAACACAGTTGTTTTATACTTTAACACAGTGGTTTTATACTTTAACAAAGTGTTTTTTATACTTTAACACGGTGGTTTTTATACTTTAATACAGTGGTTTTATACTTTAACACGATGGTTTTATACTTTAACACAGTGGTTTCTATACTTTAACACAGTGGTTTATATTCTTTAACACAGTGTTTTTATACTTTAACACGGTGGTTTTTATACTTTAACACAGTGGTTTTATACTTTAACAACAGAGGTTTTATACTTTAACACAGTGTGGTTTTATACTATAACACATTGTTTTTTTTTGTATTTTCTACATTCTTAAAATGTGGTTTTAAATGTTTTCTTTTATTTTTTATTTAGATTTTAAGTGAATACTTCCAATGCGATGGAAAAGGCTTGAAGCAGGAAGAAATATATAATCAAAGCTACGCAAACATTGACATGGTCTTTGGCCATGCTAAGGTGAATAAAAATCCTATTTTAACGCTTTATTTTGTAATATTGAGATAAATACAAAAAAAAAATATTTTACTTTCCTCCAAACCCCGTTAAATATTAAACCCCACAGTAACAAATCTAAATCTAAATCAATATCTTCTGCAGCTTAAAAGGACTTTAAGCTTAATTTCATGGGACCTTACAGATAAAGATGGCAGTGCCCGATTCACAATGGTATCCTGATAAGTTTTGTCTGATTTAGTATTAATAATAATTAAACGCTTTTAAACCTAGGAAAACGACAATATCGTTCTTGTTATTAATAAAAGTTTCAAGGGTACCGTTGTGAGTCTGACATTGCAATCTTTTTTAGAAAAAAGTTCTCTGAAATTAAGGTTTAAGTTTTATTTTATTTTACAAGAAATGTAAGTTTGAAGTTAAAAATGTTTTCAAGTTTAACTTAATTTGATGGATTTTCGAATAAATGCACTTCTAGAATTTTCGAAATATTTTCAACAATTCTGTTGAAATAAGAAAGAATATTCTTTAGAATTCAAATTTTTATGATTATTAAATTCTTTAGATGGTAAATTTTTCGTAAAATACTATTCATAAAACCTTTGCAAAAATCTCTAATCTAAAGATCAAATGACAATATTTTCAGTAAATTTTAGATTGTATAAACTGTATAGTAGAATAGGAAGACGACTGTTATAATCAAATTATAACTTCGAATAATCCAAAGAACATACGGTGGTAGGCAATAATATCAATATAATGAAGACGACATTCGATTTCAATTTTGATTTATATTTAGCTTTTGAACAGCAAGAACACACAAAAACATGGAAACAAAGAGAAGCTTGGCAATTATATACAGGGTGTCCCACATCACATTAGATCGTCAATCGGTCTATATTGCGATTTCGGGGACAAATTAGAAAATTTAAGAAGAATGAATTATTTCGAAAAATTGAATAAGGCTAATTAAAGAATTTTCTTGTGGAAAATACTAAGTTTTTCGAGTATTTAGGGTTTATATCGATGTTAAAACTTGAAGATAATCTAATATGATATGGGACGCTCTGCAGCTTCTCATTAATTATTTGTAAACTTGTAATTCGAAAAAAGCTTGTTAACAAATAAAACCTCTATAAAAAAGTCGACTTCGTTGTATTGATATATTCACATACCACTGTAGTGGACATATACCTTTACTTAATAAACTGGTATTCAAGCAACGGGGAAAAATGTTTGCTTTATAGCAAGATTAAATACAAATAAGATTGCTCAAATATCGTCTTCTAATTTCGCAGTTCTACGGGCCTTACTGTAATAAAAGACACCAGAAACAGTTCTTTTTGTCATACTTTTAAGAAGTTTACAAAATATATTTATGCAGAATATTAATCCTTATCATTAATTCTATGGATTTTACCATTCCCAAAAATAAGAAGGAAAAGGGTTCTTGGTCTGGCAAATTTTGAATTGACAAAATGATTAAAACATATTCTTTTTTCAAGGAAAAATTACATTTCTCTTATTTTTGTTACATCCGAAGACTAATATGACCCTGGCCTTTTGCGTGAGCAGACATTTTTTACTAATTTCTTAAATCTTTGTTTAGCTGAGTACTGATCAGCTGATTGCAGAGTATTATAAGGTAAAATTTCATTATTTATCTAAACAGTAAAAAAATATTTTAAAAATTTATTTTTTGAATAGCGGCCGTTATTTCGTTAAATCTACAGTGATAACTAGAAAACTCTGGAATAGGAAGCTTAGTCTTTTAGACTAAGTTATGATTTTAATAGTCCAATAAATAAATGAATATAATATTATAATATAATAATATTATTATATCTAGGAGAGACTGAACGATCAATATAATATTATTATTATATCTAGAAGAGAATGAACGATCAATACAATATTATAATATAAAATAATATTATTATATTTAGGAGAGACTGAATGATCAATACAATATGGGAACACAGGAGTTCGGAGTTCTCTCTGTTCGAGTTTACTTCAGGTTAATGAGATAATCAACATTATTATTATTACTAACCCTTTAATTAAAAACTACTATTAAAGATTCACAAGGAAACCCTTTAACGATTATCAAACTGAGACGATGCTGAGCAAGTGAGAATCTTTTGCCGCAACTATCTTTAAAGCAAAATGTTAAGTTACGCTGGCAACTCCTTTATTTTTCAAAATATAACTTTTATTTAATTTTTTCTATTTTTTAATATAACTCTTACTCTGTTTGTTAGAGTAACCCTGTGACCTGACGGGAATTTTATTCCTATAGTAAAGGTTCAAACTTTTCCAGGGCTTATTTATTTATCTTTTTAGCCACAAGATATTTAAATATTTTTGTTTGTAAATTTGCAAAGTTTAAAAACATTACCGTTTAGGGAAAAGTATGACAATTACAGAAATTGCAAGATTTAGGATCATTTTTTTCCTACAACAAATTATTCTTAGTTTGCCAAGAATGCATTCTTAAACTTTAGAATACATTTTCAAATATAAGTTGAAAACTAAAATTTTATTTTTTTGAGTTTAACAACACAATTACGTTGTTCTCTTCCAAAGTTTGACCACTGTAAACCATATTTTGACCACTGTAAACCATATTTTGACCACTGTAAACCATATTTTGACCACTGTAAACCATATTTTGACCACTGTAAACCATATTTTGGCCCCGATTTGTCTTTTACATTATGCGCCCTTCTATTTTCCATATTTTGGCCTCTGCTTTTAAATTTTGACATGTGTTTCCCATATTTTGGCCACTGTAAACAATTGTTTGGCCATATCTTCAGTATTTTGGCCCCTGTCTAAAATATTCTGGCCCCTTTTCTCTTTTATTTTGGTCCCTTTCCCCCTTAGCTTTGGTTCAAACCCTGACTCCCACATGTTGGATCTTGTCTCCCATATTTTGGCTCCGTCTCCGATATTTTGGCTCCGTCTCCCATATTTTGGCTCCGTCTCCCATATTTTGGCTCCGTCTCCCATATTTTGGCTCCGTCTCCCATATTTTGACTCCGTCTCCAAGTTTTGACCTCCCGTATTCCATATTTTGAATATTCCAATATTCTTTCTCCTTTTCTTTTATCTCTATTGATGAATGAATGAATAAATGAATGTATTTATCACATAGCTAAGCAGCTAAGGAGCTAAGCCCCAGGATTTGGTTTGGTAAAGCGAAAATATTATCTTTTCTACCATTCTTTTAATAGTCTCATGACGGACATCGTTTTCTAGTCGGGGTTTAAACGTTCAAAAGGTTTTTTACATTTAATAATTTGAGATGCTGGTTTTTAATCCGCCATTTTTCCAGATTTTCATTGAAGGATTTCCAAATATCGACATTTTTTCTGAACAACTTTTTCTTCTACCGGCCCTTAACCTACCCACGGGGTCATGAGAGTTGAAACAAAAAAGGCTGGCCTTGTATATTTAAAAAAATTCTCCGTAAATTTACTTGTATTACATTATGAAAATATATTTTTCCAAACAGAGATATATTAACCAAAACAAACTTTTAGAATAGTTTTGACGATCGTTTCGAAAAACAGTTAAAAACGGATCAAAAAGCGCGCTTATCCCTACTTAGGCATCAATATCTTAAACACTCGTAACTTCTCTTTCTCACATAATCTGAAAATAATTATCTTATTAATCAGAATGAACTAATTATTTTTAGACACGACAATCTCAGCATTGAAATTATATCTGCCAAAGATGTGATACCCTTGGACCCCAACGGTAATATATTTTTAGGAATGACAGCAGAAAAGGTGTTGGACATTTCAGACATGGACATTTCAGAGACAGGACATTTCAGAGACATGGACATTTCAGAAACATGGACATTTCAGAGACAGGACACTTCAGAGACATGGACATTTCAGTGACATGGACTTTTCAGAAACATGGACATTTCAAAGAAATGGACATTTCAGAGACATGGACATTTCAGAGCAATGGCCATTTCAGAGACATGGACATTTCAGAGACATGGACATTGCAGAGACATGGAAATTTCAGAGACATGGACATTTCAATTTCATAGACAGGACATATTTTAAAAATCGTAAAAGTCGTAGATATGACATTATACAATTGTTTTGTTTGAACTCCAACACTGCCTTTGTTAAAATCAGAAAACAGGTGAATTGTATATAAAACATCCAACCTATAATATAAGATGTTATCGAAATAATTGTTCTAATATCAAGAAAATGTTTCAATACCAGCAAAAATTTGCACGCACAATATTTTTAATACTTTTTTCTAGCAAGCAAGCTTTTTTATTTCTGGAATTATACATAGACTTTATAAATCTATTTGTTATTGATAGATGTCTTAATGTCTAAAGTTCTACGTTTACTAATTATTATATTTTAGGACTAAGTGACCCCTATGTAACTATAGAACTCCTTCCTAAGTTTGTATTTCCTAAATGTCCTGAGCTTGTGACTGCAGTACAGAAGGCAACCCTTCAACCTTCATTTGAGGAAACATTCGAGTTGTAAGTCTATCTAAATATATATAAAAAAGTCTCTTCTTTATTTTTAAAATTTCATCTTCGTAAATGATCTTATCTAACAAATTTAATAAAAAAGCTGATTTTTTTGTTTATATTTTTCAAGAAAAAGTTGTTTTAAGTGGGAAAAGTCATTAACCTTACCAGCCATAAACCTCGAAGGTAAAATCTGCTGAACCCCTTTAAACAAATATATGTTACAAGTTTGTTTTATTTTTTATTTAATTGTTTAGCAACATACGACGGGAGCAGTGTCGAGATCATGGCTCTGTAATCTGCTTCACACTAATGGACTACGATGTGCTGACTGCAAACGACTTCGGAGGGGAAGCGTTCATATCACTCAGGTGGATAGATAGATAGATATATATAGATATATACATAGATAGATAGATAGATGTATAGATAGATAGATAGATAGATAGATAGATATATAGATAGATATATAGATATATAGATAGATAGATAGATAGATAGAGAGATAGATAGATTCATACCTGGAGTAGAACAAGGGTCCTAACTGTATAATATATATATCTAGTTCTGTACCTGGTGAAGAACAAGGGTCCTCAACTGTATAATATATATATATCTAGTTCTGTACCTGAAGTAGAGCAAGGGTTCTTAACTGTATAATATATATATCTAGTTCTGTACCTGGTGAAGAACAAGGGTCCTCAACTGTATAATAAATATTTCTAGTTCTGTACCTGGAGTAGAACAAGGATCTATAGGAATATAGATAGATATATATATCGATAGTTATATATCTATTATATCTAGTTCTGTACCTGGAGTAGAACAAGGATTCTCAACTGTAGAATATATATTTCTAGTTCTGTACCTGGAGTAGAAGAAGGGTCCTCAACTGTAAAATATATATATTTCTAGTTCTGTACCTGGAGTAGAACAAGGGTCCTCAACTGTATAATACATATATCTAGTTCTGTACCTGGTGTAGAACACGGGTCCTCAACTGTATAATATATATATCTAGTTCTGTACCTGGAGTAGAGCAAGGGTTCTTAACTGTATAATATATATATCTAGTTCTGTACCTGGTGAAGAACAAGGGTCCTCAACTGTATAATTAATATTTCTAGTTCTGTACCTGGAGTAGAACAAGGATCCTCAACTGTTGATAATTTCCATGGACTTAAACCTATTCATCTTCCTCTTATGTTTCAGAAAAATAAGGGTAAACTTATTTTACCATCTAAATTCTGAATGATTTGGACAAATTGTTTGGGAACTAGATTTAAAACTTTAGAAATGTTCAAAAACATTTTTGCAAGCTCTTTTTGATTCTTCAGAAGAAAATAAAATTTGATTATTTTCCGCCAATTGATAAACATTTGTTTTAGAGCACCCTATTCTCCACACCCTAGAGCTGAGGAAGAACGATAAAGCTGCACAAGAATTTATCAAAAAACAAAAATTTAGATTTCAAGAATAAAAAAGAACACCTGGACTAGACACCCGGATTAAGGAAAACTAACATCAATTCCGAAATTTAAAAATTACATTGAATCAGGAATTTGCATAAAAATTTTGATTCAGAATTAAATCTGGAATCAGGAATACTAACTTTAATTCAGAAATAAATCTGGAATCAGGAATACTAACTTGAATTCAGAAATAAATCTGGAATCAGGAATACTAACTTTATTTCAGAAATAAATCTGGAATTCTAACTTTAATTCAGTAATAAAATTCTGAAATCATGATAAAGAATCTAGATTCAGGAGTACACGCCTAAATTTAGGAATACATATCGGAATTCAGAAATATAAATCTGGATTCAGAAATATGAATCTGGATTCAGAAATAAATAAAATAAATAAATAAAAAAATTAAAACATGTGACAATTGTTGATGTTATGTTTATCATAACTGAAAAGATAGTTTTTTAATCAATTAATAATTCGAAAAGAATCAAAGAGAGATTGATTATAGTTTCTTATTATTAGAATATTAAAATGAATTTCTTAAATTAAGGATTTCAAGAATTCCTAAAAATAGATCTATAAAATGAGAGCTTTTACCAAAGTTAAGCAAGTAAGCTTAATTCAGAAATAATTATATCAATTTGTTTTAACTGGTTGTGCCATGATGTTGTGCAATCTGGGCTGTTTTTTACCATCTGTACTGCTCTGTGCAATATTAACTGTACTGTGCAGTATTTACTGTGCTATGCATTATTTACTGTACTGTGCAATATTTACTGCTCTGTGCAGTATTTACTGTAATGTGCAGTATTTACTGTTCTGTGCAGTATTTACTGTGCTGTGCAGTATTTACTGTACTGTGCAGTATTTACTGTACAGTGCAGTATTTACTGTACAGTGCAGTATTTACTGTACAGTGCAGTGTTTACTGTCCTGTGCAGTATTTACTGTACTGTGCAGTATTTACTGTTCTGTGCACATAGATTCAGCCTCCTTATAAACAGTCTCATCAATTTTTAAGACAGGGCTGACTTTGAAGTGTCGCAACACCCTAAGCTTTGATTTTACCGCTCTAACTCACTTATGCTTTTCTGTAGCCCTTTACATGTACATTTTAGCAATGTAAAGCACTTCTTGTTAGATTTGGTTTTTTAGAAGTAATTGGCAAAATTCTCAATGATTTTTGCTTGAGAGCGTGAGACCATTAAATCGCAGTGTGTGCAGTATTTACTGTACTGTGCAGTATTTACTGTACTGTGCAGTATTTACTGTACTGTGCAGTGATTACTGTACAGTGCAGTATTTACTGTACAGTGCAGTGTTTACTGTCCTGTGCAGTATTTATTGTACTGTGCAGTATTTACTGTACAGTGCAGTGTTTACTGTACTGTGCAGTATTTACTGTACTCCGTTATTTTATCAATGACCTACCTCTCGAGAAATGGAAAAGGGATGAATATTCACGTTTATAAATTTGTTGTTTCTCCGCCTGCCCCCACCCCTCCATCCCCCTCTCTTCCAGGATTCTAATTTATATCAAAACTTTACTCTATTCAAACTCTAGTTTTAGTTCTAGATGTAGGAACAAATCTTTCCAACCTAACTTTGCAACAATTTCCAAAATGTAAAAAGTAACTAAAAATCAAGAAAAAGTACATATCATTTTTTATATTGAATCTCTAAAATTTGTACAACGTACATAAGGTCTAATAAGAAAGCAAGTTAAGGGAAAAAACTAAAAATTCATGATGAAAATAGTATTGTGTAAGAGAACATGATATTGAAAATATTTAAAATCTTTTTGCCTTTTCTTGGAATATGATAAACTGAAAACAACGTGTTTGTTGTTTACCAGCTAGTTCATCCCAATGTTTGTAAACTTGTTAGTATTGTACACCAGTATGCTCGTTTACATGTCGTTATTGTACGGCAGCATGGTTCTGAAAACTGTTATTGTACGGAATAAGTATATTAGTTATTTTGCAGCAACTTGTTTTTAGATATGTTTGGAAACAAGTTGTTATTGTACTGCAGTATTTTTGTAAACATATACTTATTGTACTGCTGTATGTATGTAAAGATATTGTTATTGTAATGCAGTATGTTTGCAAAAATATTGTTATTGTACTTCAGTATGCTAGTAAACATGTTGTAATGGTACAGCAGTATGTTTGTATACATGTTGTTATTGTACTGCACTATGTTTGACCACATGTTGTTATTGTACAGGAGTATGTTGTAAAACATGTTGTTATTGTACTGCAGCATATTTGTAAACATATTGTTATTGTACAGCAGTAAGGTTGTAAAGATGTTGTCATCGTACAGCAGTATTAAAATGTTTTATCCTCCTCATGTTCATGTTATGATATTTAAAGAAATACAATCTAAATGTTATTAATACATATATGATTTATAATAAAATATTAAAATTTTAAAAATAGTTTTTTTAAATTAAGTTCTTAACGTCGAAAAAAATGCCTACTGAATATGTATCGTACAGGGTGAACATTATCATTTTTGAAAATTTCGTAAATGGGCTGTTGGGGGGGGGGTGTGTGTTTTTATCCCACTTTCTTATTTAACTCTCCGATCAATACTCTGATTATTAAAATGATTGAAAAATCATGTCGTTTTAAAAAAAACTATTGTTCTGCAAAAGGACCGTTTTTATAAAGTTCGCCGTTTCGTTAACAATCGTAAATGACGTCCCTTCGTTAGCGATCTTTAACGACGACCCTTTATTAACGATCGTTAACGACGGCCATTGGTTAACGATCGTTAAAGAAGAGAGGAACCACCCAGAAGGGCATCTGTACTTATCATTGAGCAGTTTTAAGAAAATACCAAGAAATTTTAGCTCCCCCACAACTGTTTACCTTCATATAAGATGACATTCAATGTTGCATGTAATTATTTTTCAAAACGATCGTTTTTTATAAAGTTCGTCGATTCGTTTACGATCGTTAAAAACAACCCTTTGTTAACGATCTTTAACGACGACCCTTCGTTAACAACCGTTAACATATTTATTAATAAAAAAGTAACGTTTTTTTAAAAACTATTTTTTTTAAACAATCGTTTAAAAAACGATCGCTGATCGTTTTTATAGAAACGGTTGTTATTCGTTTTCTAAAAATTCAAACGAGTGGGTCGTTTTTTCCGAAAACGAAGCAATCGTTTTTTAAAACGATCGGAAAACGAAACAAAAAACGATCGTTTTCAAAAACGATTAACAACCCCAAGCCAGTTTTGATCCGGCATATACTTAACAGAATGCAAACATCACATTTTAAACCTTTTATATATTGATTGTTCAACCCCAAAAGCAAATATTTTGATATGTTACATTTCAAGTCCCAATTTTTTGAGCCAACATGCATCCTGCTTTCTGTAAAGAATGCATGTATCCCGTTTATATCCTATAAATGGATTCCCTCTCACCCCAGAAATCCCCAGATTTTGTCACTTTTCGATGTGGTGGCTTAAAAAATTGCCTTCCCCACCACTAAAAAAACTAAAAAAAAGGAAAGATATATACCTGATTTGATCAAGATTTGTATTGTATCAGTATATCTAGTGTTTGTTTAACTAATTTAATTTGTATCTTGTTTGTTTTCCTTCCTTGATTCCTGGCCATTATATACTATAGTCGTTGGAGGGATAGGTCCTCTTTCATCTTTCTCTTTCATTTGTATATTCGTTAATTTTAATGTGTCTATTCTTTCTCTTCCTTTTTGATATTCCATCACTTTCATCTGTCTAATCTTTCACTTTCGTATATCTATTCCATCACTTTCATTTGTTTATTTATTTATTCACTTTCATCTTTCTATTCTTTCATTTTCATTTGTTTATTTATTCATTCACTTTCATCTTTCTATTCTTTCATTTTCGTATATGTACTCCATCACTTTCATTGGTCTATTTATTCTTTCACTTTTGTTTGTCAATTCCATCACGGTCATTTGTCTATTTATTCTTTTACTTTCATCTGTCCATTCTTTCACTTTTGTTTGTCTATTCCATCACTGTCATTTGTCTTTGCCATTACTTTCATTTGTCTATCTATTTTTTCACTTTCATCTATTTATTCTTTAAATTTTGTTTGTTTATCCCATTACTGTCATTTGTCTTTACCATCACTTTCATTTATCTATCTATTCTTTCACTTTTATCTGTCTATTCTTTTAATTTTGTTTGTCTATTCTATCCCTGTCATTTGTCTAAACCATCACTTTCATTTGTCTCTTTATTCTCTCACTTTCATCTGTATAATCTTTCACTTTCAACTGTCTATTCTTTCAATTTTGTTTGTCTAATCCATCACTTTCATTTGTCTATCTTTTTTCACTTTCATTTGTCTATTCTTTCACTTTCATCTGTCTATTCTTTCAATTTTGTTTGTCTATTCCATCACTTTCATTCGTCTTTTTATTCTTTCACTTTCATCTGTCCATTCTTTCACTTTCATCTGTCTATTCTTTTAATTTTGTTTGTCTATTCCATCACTTTCATCTGTCTATTACTTCACTTTCATTTGTCTATTCTTTCACTTTCGTTTATCTATTTTTTCACTTTCATATATATATTCGTTCATTTCAATGTGTCTATTCTTTTACTTTCGTTTGCATATTCCATCACTTTCATCTGTCTAATCTTTCACTTTCGTATATATACTCCATCACTTTCATCGGTCTATTTATTCTTTCACTTTTGTTTGTCAATTCCATCACTGACATTTGTCTATTTATTCTTTCACTTTCGTTTATCTATTCCATAACTTTCATTTGTCTATTTATGCTTTCCCCTTAATCTGTGTATTGCATCACTGTCATTTATCTATACCAGGACTTATGTTCCATCATCTACGATTCTACTGTCAAAAGATGAGGCGCCTTTTTTAATGATATGACAATAAAAGAAACAAGTTTACAATTGCAGGGAATAATGCATATAGGAGCCACGTACAGTGGTCTCTAAAATCTCTTTCTTTGTTGGTAACTCTGTGTCTAAGCCCTGTATATGTATCAGTGTATATATTTGTAATCAAGAAGTAGTTCCCGTGTAATGGGGTAAAAAGGTCAGCTTGAAAATTAGCCTGTTTCAGTTTGTCATGATTCAAACCTCAAATTAACCCTTACTACACTACACTACACTACACTACACTACACTACACTACACTACACTACACTACACTACACTACACTACACTACACTACACTACAAAGCAACTCATCCCTAAGAAGATAAATGATTTAACCCTAGATTACTAGATGCCCAACGGTCCACAGTTGATTATTTCCGAATGCAACCTTTCTAAATGATAGATATCTGTGGTCACTTCCGACCATTTTTATTAACGATTTCTTTCTTGGATTATGTTAAATAAAAAAGTACGAACACTCATTCACATATACGATACAGGTTCAAGAAAGTGATGATTGTCATTTTAGCTCTGCGTATTGTATTAACTAACTTCACGTTAAATATGTGTTTTACTTGTCTCTTTTACCACCAAGGGACACATCCTATAACAGTACAATGTAAATAATACATATAGTTAGATATATTAAAGAATTTACAATGTGTTAACTTTTTTCATTATTTCAATACTGCACAAATCTTCGTCGATTTTCTATTTTTTTTTATTTTTAATATTTAAACCATGGGTTTTCAAAAACATTTTATTTTATAGCCTGTATTTATACTGCACATATAGCTGCCTAAAAGTCAGTAAGGTATTTAAAAGAAACAGAAGTTAAAAGTAATTTAAAATCATATCAAATATATAAAATAAAATAGTACATACAGAGTACAGAGTTGATAATTACAAATGTTCATCTTTTTTCTCCTTTCTCCATCGACAAGTCTGCAGTTTCAAGTCGCTGTCTTTGCGCCATTATAAGACAGTGCACGATCACCCTTTCATTGAATAGATGTCCCCATGTCTGTTTTTTGTTTGTTTTGCTAATTGTAGTTGCAGCCTTAGCACTGCACATTCTGTCTACTTGCATTTTCTAGGTCAAAACTCTAAGTAAGTTTTTATTTAGTTTTTATTTTGTAATAGCTTCCCTGCTTTGAACCGCACATGTTTACTTTCCTATAAAAGGAGGGTTGCCATTCCAACAAATCAAATGACCTGCTCAGAGGTAATTTTATTGTATAGGATCCAACAGAGAAATGTCCTCCAGTCTCATTTCACTGTTTGTGAGAAGATTAGATGGTAGGTAGAGGAGAGTAGCGATGAGGATAAGGGTTTGTAGGAGTGGCGTATCAGGAATGTTTTGTTAAAAACACTCCATTTGTCCACATGTTATACATTTTCCAGTCCCGCAGAATTCCTACGGTAGTATCGCATTTAGTGTGCATCACTGCATGCAGAATGCGGAGTTATCTCTTTTTATCAGCTGTTGGGCAGAGCCTTTCCAGAAAGGGCTCTGATCTCTAAGTGGAGTGGGTGTAAAACTGGATTAGTTTCAGACATAGAAGCTCTTCCTTGTTATTCCTATTTCTTGACTTAGTACCCTACTTATTGATCACGGGGTTCAGGGCCGCTTAGCCTTCCCTCACTCCGATGTGCAAACACCTTTCTCAGCGTTCACTGCAATATAGTGCAGAGAGCTTTCTGAACAGAGCTCTACTCTCTTAGGCTGTAGGAATGCAACTGCAAAGATAGAGAGAAGGGGAAAAGTTAGAGATAGAGAGGAGAAGTGAAGTGAGTGAGGGATGAGTAAGTGAGTGGGGAAACTTGTGAGTGTGTAAGTGTATCAGTGAGTGAATGAGTAAGTGAGGGAGTGAGAACAACCAATTTATTTTGAATATAGAATCCCCTGGTCCCCTCTGATTCTCCCCCCTTGCCCCCCCCTGGTTCTCAGCTTCTCTTCTAAAATATTTTTATGGACGGTTCAACGGTTCCAAACATTCTTAAATTGTCCATTGATCCTTTTTGGAACTGAAACCAAATTATCTAATTTTTTATGAAGTAAAGGAAGTGTAAGATTGTACGACTGTCCTCTAAAAAAATGAAATATTGAAAATATAATCATTTTAATTTGAAGAATTAAATGGAACAAAATTCTGAATTTCCCTGATAATTGTTAAACTACAAAACAACAGACAAAATTTTAAAGATCCCTAGATTCCCTAAATGTTGCAGGTCGTGAAACGTCGTCATTTTATTCCATGTTTATTGGAACAACTCGTATTTTAAACTCTAATTTTACTGTACGGTTGAAAAGATGCCAGAGAGTGAGCAAGAATTTAAGAATTTTTGTATTAGTTGATCACAGATTTAACAGATAGAACAAAAATGGTATCTCATTCTTTTGTGTACTAAGAAAAAAGGCGCTTTACCTATTTAAAGGGACAGTAAACGTAGTTTCAAGTAACCCTCCATACAAATATGGCAATACCTGATTTCCAACAGTACGCTTAAAATTTCATTTGATCAAAAAGGTGTAAGAAACCGTCATTTTTTGGACTAAAAAAATGTTTATATCTGCGAGTTGTTCCATTACTTCTTAAAAACCAGAAATGCGCAAGTCACTTTCGCAGAGAAATCGGAAATGAAAAGAAACACAGATTTAAATAACATTGATATCTAATTTATACTTGATCAGACAAAGCTTTCAAGGTAACCTTGTAAATCTGGGATTGCTATCTTTGCGTTGAGGTTCATTTAAAATAACGCTTACAGTCCCTTTAAAATCTGCATATCCATTGGTACACAAATGGAGAAACTATCTGAAAAATCAGAGGTCGGGAAACTAGCAACACTAAAAATTTGACCCGGTCTCGTTATTTGATGGATAATGATTAAAACTAGACAAATACAGACCAGATAGCTAGATAACAGATTGATTTTTGCACGCCGTAATAAAACAGGACTTCTCTATAGTCTTATCTAAATGATCTGTATCGAACCGTAGATAATTAAAGGATAAGTAAAAATTCTGGAAGATGATTTATATTTCTACAACAAAAACGTGTATCTAAGCTCATATGTAAATTTGTGTGCTGACTGCATATATTTATATTATATAAAACTATATCTTTTGTGAATTCTTCATAACTTTCTTATTCTCTTTTCCTTCATAGCATCGGAACCAGAGCGCCCTGCTTCCTGCATAAAAGAAAAATTTAAATTTAAAAAAGTTTTAAATTATTATTTGTAAATGCTTTAATTTGCATTGGTCATACAGTGAGAACCAGAAAAGCTGGAATGGAAAGACGACATTAAAATTACTTTAAACTCTAGTTATTCTATTTAATGTATATACTATTTTGCATAAGATAAATTTGCACCCTGATCTCTAATAGCTCTCCTTAAATCTATTTAATTGAAATGTGTTGTTATCATTATTAAACTTAGGTGAAAAAATAATCAAAACAGCCAAGAGCTATTTCCCACCTAATTTCTGTTGATATAATCATCAATTTGTAATTGTAAACTCGTTCTGTACACAGATACATGTATTTTAGCATTAAATTTTATCTTATCTTATCTTATCTTAAGAAATGATTAAGTGTATTTGATTTTATAATAATTTTATTTGAACTTATTTAATCCCTTAATCAGTGAGATAGGTCTGTATTCACTGCAAAATTGTCGGGTTACATGTTCATTGTGGTATTTAAAGTCATAACTTAAGTCTAAAATTCGTTTTTCTATTTTAGAGTTTTCTGGTTCTCACTGTAATACATTGAGTTCAGTTTGGATTTTTACCTGGAAGGTTTGGTTTGGTTTTGCTTTCTCCAATTCTTAAATGTTTGAACCTGAAAAAATATAAATTTCAATTTAACTCTTAATGACTTATATGGACTATGTAGGCGTAATTTCAAATGACTCTATTATCTATAAATATACGTAGTTTGTTTGTTTGTTTGTTTGTCCGATCATCATAACTCAGAAATCCCTGAAACTGATTTGCCGAAAATTTTGATTGAACAACGGGAATTTTCTTAGTTTGGTTTAAAAGTTCTTGATAAAAAAGTTTGACTTTTATAAAAAAAACTTTGTTTTACGGCAAAACTGGGTTTTAAAACTAGTGTTTTTATAAAGTTGCATTACCTTAAAAAGCTTTGTCTGATCATGATTAAATGGGATATCCATAGTTTTAAATTCGATTATTTTGAAATTTGGGTTCTCTAATATAAAGTAATTTGCTTGCGCATCTCTGCAGTTGACACACATGGAAGAAATTATCAGAATTAATCACTTTTGAAACTAGAAAACGATGATACTTTACATTAATTAAATTAATAAGATGGAAGGTCACTTGAAATTATAACAAAAATTACTTTTTATTGAAAAAATTACTTTAAAAATCTAAATGAAACAGTTAAGTAATTTGTTGTTGTAATGGAAAGAATTTCGGATTATTAATTCGCCAATTCGATTTTAACATAAAAACATTTAAGGACGAGTTAGAAATCAGATAAAAAAATATTTTATTCTTTTCAAAGAAACCATTAAATTAAGAATGCACATAAAACCTCTACTTCTAGATCCTTTTATAGAATTTGAATACACCAGCAATATAATAAAATATAATAAAATATATACGAAATAAATTCAAATAAATTCAAATAGATAAAAAGAATAAAAGAACGAATAAAGTTCAATATTTCTCGTCGTTTATTCCACGCTTCAAAGATTTCTTCATTTTTATTTCAAAGGAAGAAAAATAAAAGCAGAGAGTGTTCATGGAAGGAGATATTGGAATGATGGGGGGGGGATATTGAAGATGAGGGGGGAGGATGAGGTGATAAGGATATAGGTTACATAGATGTTGAGGAGAAAAGGATATAGGTTACCTAGATGTTGAGGAGACAAGGATAGGGGTTACCCAATATGTTGAGGAGATAAGGATAGAGGTTACCGAGATGTTGAGGAGATAAGGATAGGGGTTACCTAGATGTTGAGGAGATAAGGATAGGGACTACCGAGATGTTGAGGAGATAAGGATAGGGATGACCTAGATGTTGAGGAGATAAGGATACAGGTTACCCAATATGTTGAGGAGATAAGGATAGAGGTTACCCAATATGTTGAGGAGATAAGGATAGGAGTTACCTAGATGTTGAGGAGATAAGGATAGGGGTTACCTAGATGTTGAGGAGATAAGGATATAGGTTACATAGATGTTGAGGAGATAAGGATAGGGGTTACCTAGATGTTGAGGAGACAAGGACAGGGGTTACCTAGGGTGTTGAGGAGATAAGGAAAGGGGTTACCCAAAATGTTGAGGAGATAAGGATAAGGGTTATCGAGATGTTGAGGAGATAAGGATAGGGGTTACCCAATATGTTGAGGAGATATGGATGGGGGTTACCTGGGATGATGATGAAAGAAGGATGAGAAGAATGAGGTTTACCTGTGATGACGATGAAAGAAGGATTAGAATGATGAGGTTTACCTGGGATGATGATGAAAGAAGGATGAGAAGAATGAGGTTTACCTGTGATGATGATGAAAGAAGGATAATAAGGATGAGGTCTACCTGGGATAATGATGAAAAAAGGATTAGAAGGATGAGGTTTACCTGGGACGATGATGAAAGAAAGATGAGAAGGATGAGGTTTACCTGGGATGATGATGAAAGAAGGATGAGAAGGATGAGGTTTACCCAGGACGATGATGAAAGAAAGATGAGAAGGATGAGGTTTACCTGGGACGATGATGAAAGAAGGATGAGAATGATGAGGTTTACCTTTGATGATGATGAAAGAAGGATGAGAATGATGAGGTTTACCTGGGATGATGATGAAAGAAGGATGAGAAGAATGAGGTTTACCTGGGAAGATGATGAAAGAAGGATGAGGTTTACCTGGGATGATGATGAAAGAAGGATGAAAAGAATGAGGTTTACCTGGGAAGATGATGAAAGAAGGATGAGAAGGATGAGGTTTACCTGGGATGATGATAAAAGAAGGATAATAAGAATGAGGTCTACCTGGGATGATGATGAAAGAAGGATGAGAAGGATGAGGTTTACCTGGGACGATGATGAAAGAAAGATGAGAAGGATGAGGTTTACCTGGGACGATGATGAAAGAAAGATGAGAAGGATGAGGTTTACCTGGGATGATGAAGAAAGAAGGATGAGAAGAATGAAGTTTACCTGGGATGATGATGAAAAAAGGATGAGAAGAATGAGGTTTACCTGGATTGCGATGAAAGAAGGATGATTAGGATGAGGTTTACCTGGGATGATGATGAAAGAAGTATGATTAGGATGAGGTTTACCTGGGAAGATGATGAAAGAAGGATGAGAAGGATGAGGTTTACCTGGGATGATGATGAAAGAAGGATGAGAAAGCCTAGACATGAAGATAAAGAGATTATATTGAGAGTAAGAAGACTGCTGAGGAATGATGGCATAATACTTTCAATCTAGAAATAAAAAAATAAGTAATTTTGGACATTTATTAAAAAGTAAAACAGTAAACTTAGTTCCAAAATTGTCCCTTTTAAAGACAAACTTGGCGGGGCTTTGCCCTAGTTTTCCCTGTACAAGAATTTTTAAACCAGGACTATACAGTATACATATACCCGTGTTCTACTTGTCCTATTAACTATGATTGGACATACAAGGATAATCAGAAAACTGTAGAATAGGAAGACGACATTAAAACAATACTGAACTGCATTTTATATTGTTACAAGGAAATAGCTTTACTTAGTTAGGAAATAGTTATTAATTCAAGTATTAAGGGAAATGTGTCTGTTTACACTTCACAATTACTGTAACTAATGTTAATTGAACTATTTAGATAATTTAAAACCATTACTTTAGTTTAAAAGTTAACTTCCTATTCCAGAGTTTTTTGGTTATTACTGTACAAACAAACAGAGATTACTAATTTATGTATAGAAAGATTTCACAGCTCAAAAACATCAAATTAAAAAAAATATTTTTTTAATGTCATCTCTTAGTAAAAATTCAAAAATAACCAAATATGGACCAAACTAAAGCAAATGAGTTCGTTGACAGACACTTAAATTTGGAAAATAAAGAAATAAGAAGCATATCATTCTTTTCAATCATTAAGCGTCTTCTGTTTCGGTGTTTAAACCAATAAATAGTATGAATGCACAAAAATGTCGTCTTTAAATTGGCAACATTTTAGAAATATTAGTTTAGCATTCTGTCAGAAGACTAGGGTTAGTACTTTAGGGTTAGTACTCCTACAGGGTGTCCTAAAAAAACATAGGAATTCAGTGACGAATTCGATATCGTCTTTGTTATGAATTAGCATTGTAATACCTAATTTCAAAAGCCATAATATTATTATGTCTGCTAGAGTTTATTTAAAGAAAAGGGTAAAAGACTGAAAAGATGTGTCTATAATGTCTCCGCAAGATGAACAGTGAATATGGACAAGTTTACTCTGTTTGTATACTGTAATTTTCTTGTTTTACTAAGTACAACCGGTTGCAGTCAAAACATAAACAAACAAAATGTAAACATAGCAGACGAAACTATTACAGATTACAGATTTCTCACTAGGTATCACTATACTAAATCAAAGAATTATTCATAAAGACGATATCGAATTCGTCACTGAATTCCCATGTTTTTTGGGACACCCTGTACCTACATTATAAAATAGCAGTTCTTTCAGTATCCTGGTTACCTGGATATCAGGTTTTTAATTTTTCTCTACAATATACAAGCGAAAATGGTTTAAGAAGAAAATCAAATACTGGATACTTAGATTAAGTACTCGAGATTAAGGATATCTCATTCTAAAGTTTTTAGCTCTGGTTACCTGGTTTCATAGTTCTCTTTGTATCCTTGTAACCTATAGACCAGGATTACTTAAGTGCTCTATATATGTATCCTAAATACCTTGAGACCAGGTTTACTAGTGCTCTATATGGTACCTGGAGACAGGTTTACATAGTGTTCTATGTAGTACCTTGAGACCAGGTTTACTAGTGCTCTATGTAGTACCTGGAGACCAGGTTTACTAGTACTCTATTAAGTACCTGGAGACAGGTTGAGGCAGGATATAAAAGTTCTCCATTTCTCCAGAGAGGTGTAGAGGATAAACACACACAAGATTCCAATGTTTCAACTGGCCAGTCAGGCGGTCCCTTAGCGTCCTTTAAAGAGGTTTGGATTGGCATATTTGACTCATAATACAGAGAATACTTGTGATATCTTCTCTTAGAAAATTTGTCGAATGTGGTGTCTTTATAAAGTTACTTGCGCAATACTGCTCTCAAAAGAATGCAGGAACTTATCAGAATTAAACACTCTTCAAGCAAAGAAAAAAACTATATCTTCCAAATTAATGATCATATAAAAGGTGGAATGAGTACCAATGTGAATTTTGCATACCTCCTTTTTTTAAATGGAAAGTTGGTTGAAATTTCAGTGTATTTCCATTTTATCTGGCATTGATATAAAATCAGACAGAAAAATAAAAAAAAGTTTAAATTATTTTTTTCTAGAACTTTTTTTATGGATATGTGAAACTATGGAGGGTTTTGAAACATGACATGAAGAGTACCTGACATGAATTGTATGTATTTGAAATGATGTGAAGAGTACCTGACATGAACTATATGTATATACAATGATATGAAGAGTACCTGACATGAACTATATGTATATATAATGATATGAAGAGTACCTGACATGAACTTTATGTATATGTAATGATATGAAGAGTACCTGACAACGAACTGTATGTATATGTAATTATATGAAGAGTACCTGACATGAACTGTATGCATATGTAATGATGTGAAGAGTACCTGACATGAACTGTATGTATATATGTAATGATGTGAAGAGTACCTGACATGATCTGTATGTAAATGTAATGATATGAAGAGTACCTGACATGAACTGTATGTATATGAAATGATGTGAAGAATACCTGACATGAACTGTATGTATATGTAATGATATGAAGAGTATAGCAGATACTTGAAACTAGGCTTGAAACTGCTCCAAGACTTGAAAGAACCACACAACCAATCTAAACATTAAATAATTTGCAACTAAATTTCTTTAGAATAATGTATAAAATAACCTGTCCATGAAATGTCCTTAATTCCAAAAAATGTCCTGAAATGAAATGTCTTTTATGAAATGTCCTCTAGCAATATGAAATGCTTTATCTAGGAAAATGTCCTGTCTCTGAAATGTCCTATCTATAACATGGCTTTCTTTGAACGTCTTTCTATGAAATGTCCTGTCTATGCAATGTTTTTCTTTGAAATGTTCCAATACCAAAGCGTTAACAATATAATCTTAAATTTTGAAACAGTTTTTTATAGATCACATTGTTGACATTTGGTTTTAATACTTCGTCTTTATCAGCTTTTTTTGTTATTACTTTAATTGACAATACTCGTAAAATATTTATAATTTTTAGTAGAATTGTAGTAGAATTGTAATTTATTAGAATTGTAGTAGAATTCTAATTGTAATTATAATTTAGTAGAATTGTAATTATAATTTAGTAGAATTGTAATTGTAATTGTAATTTAGTAGAATTGTAGTAGAATTGTAATTGTAATTGTAATTTAGTAGAATTGTAGTGGAATTGTAAATGTAATTGTAATTTAGTAGAATTGTCGTCGAATTTTAAATTTAGCGGATTCATAAAGAAAAACAGCAACAAATTATTATTTCTATAAAACTGTTGTTGGTTAAAAATGAAAGATCAGAGGGAAAACTCCCTTCCTTTCTTTAACCTCTTCCCTTTCCGCTTGCAATTTTAACCCTTATACACAGTCTAACCCCCTACATCCCGATCTCCCTACTCCCCTCTCCCTCCTCCCACATCCTACTCCCCTCCCTCTCCTTCCAACACACTTTCCAATATGTTCCTTAGTTTTGTTTCACAAAAGCAAAATTGTCTCAAAATGATAACAAACAGCTCATCCTATCCTGTCCTTCTATCCGTTCTCTCCATCCTTACTTTTTTCTTCCCTCTTTCTTTCCTCTACCTTCTCTTTCTACCCCCTCTTTTTTCCTTTCCCTTCTTCCCCTCCCCCTTCGCTTTCCATTCCTTGTCCCCCCCTTCCCCCCTCCCCTCCTTATTTCCGCGCTCTTACTCTCTTGTTCTTAAATACCGGAAAGGCGTTTCTCTTATCAAAACTTCTAAAGTTAGAACACTTCGCGCCACTCTATGTTTTGTAAATAATTTGTTGTGTTAGAAGACGTTATTAATTTTTAATTAAACCGAAATATTTTTAATACTCTTTATGATTTGAAATACTCTTTATGATTTGAAATATTCTTTATGATTTGAAATATTCTTTATGATTTAAAATACTCTTTATGATTTGAAACTAATATTTTATTATTTTTAAACTTGATAACCTTTCATCGTATGATTCTCATTTTACTAGTTATCTATAAAACTTATTTAGATTTAATAATTTTGTTGATTATTATGTGTAGTGCAAAGGATATTAACATTTTTCTTATGCTTTTACAACTTTTTTTTTACTACACTATTAAACCAGATTAAAAAACCTAACTCTTTTTGAAAATTTTTAAAATTTTTAAAAAGATATTTAAATAAAGTTTTTAAATTAAAGTTTATGCGTCATTATTTCCATAATTAAAATATTTTTGTTTCGCAACAAAAAAACTTTCCCTTGCTTAAAATATGCTGAACAACGTATATTTCAGACTGTATTATTTGAGTTGAGTGGAAGCATTAAATGCTACGTGAATTAAGTCCTGAGAATGTATAAGATTAAAAATTCTCTCTCTGTTGCTAATCACGAATTCTTGTTAAAACAGAAATCCCGAAAAATGTCTAAGATGTGTTTAAGCAGTGTGTACAATTAACTTTAACGATGACGCGGTTCGAGGATTTGTTGCTCAGGGCAGTGTGTTGGGGATATGAAAATATGGCTAAATGGAACCATATTTGCTTAAAACCCAAACTTAGACGAATTGTAGGTCATTATTTTTAGCTAGAAATTTCAAATAGACTGGTTTCAATTTTCATTTCCTTCAGATACAGGGCTACACACAAAGGTTGAGACTGTAAAGTCGACCTGAAGCTCTTAAAGAATGACGATCGATCAAGGTTAAATTAAGGCTTCTGCCTTGAACTTTTGAATGTATGGTTTTTGCTTGATTTCTTGATAGTTTAACGTTTAGATCTATGTTTGTTGATCCGTTAATGTCTGGTTTCTTGCTTTCTAAATTGCTTAGTATTTTGTTTGCTTTTATTGTGACTAGTTTCTTTGCTTAATAACTAAGTTGTTTGGTTGTTGTATATTGTAGACAGGTTGGATAGGGTTTCTTCTTGTAAGAGAAAGTTATCCCAGGATATGCAATAATATGATGAAACTGTATCAAATTTCAGACAAAGGAACAAAATTCACTTCCGGTGTGTGTCACACAGGAAGTAATAAAGACAGTTAATAAATAATAATACAGGATGGATGAGAACTATATCGGGTATGAAAAGGGTTAAGATGGGTACAAGGGTTGTTAGCGTGGAACGGATGGGTTGAGTGAAGTGGGACGGATAGGAAGGATTTGATCTATTAGAAGAATATGAGGGTTGAGTGGAGTGGGGCGGATAGGAAGGATGTGATCTATTAGAAGAATAAGAAGAATAAGAAGGTTGTGTGGAGTGGGATGGATAGGAAGGATGTGATCTATTAGAAGAATAATAAGGTTGAGTGGAGTGGGACGGATAGGAAGGATCTGATCTATTAGAAGAATAAGAAGGTTGAGTGAAATGTGATGAAAAGGAATGATGTGATATATTAGAAGAATAAGAAGGTTGTGTGGAGTGGGATGGATAGGAAGGATCTGATCTATTAGAAGAATAAGAAGGTTGAGTGGAGTGGGACGGATAGGAAGGATCTGGTCTTTTAGAAGAGTAAGAAGGTTGAGTGGAGTGGGAGGGATAGGAAGGATCTGATCTATTATAAGAATAAGAAGGTTGAGTGGAGTGGGACGGATAGGAAGGATGTGATCTGTTAGAAGAATAAGAAGGTTGAGTGAAGTGGGACGGATAGGAAGAATGTGATCTATTAGAAGAATAAGAAGGTTGAGTGGAGTGGGACGGATAGGAAGGATGTGATCTTTTAGAAGAATAAGAAGGTTGAGTGAAGTGGGACGGATAGGAAGAATGTGATCTATTAGAAGAATAAGAAGGTTGAGTGGAGTGGGACGGATAGGAAGGATGTGATCTTTTAGAATAATAAGAAGGTTGAGTGGAGTGGGACGGATAGGAAGGATGTGATCTGTTAGAATAATAAGAAGGTTGAGTGGAGTGGGACGGATAGGAAGGATGTGATCTTTTAGAATAATAAGAAGGTTGAGTGGAGTGATGAGAAGGATAAGAATTTTAAGGTTGATAATAGAATAGAGTCGGCTTGAAGGACGAGTGGATCGGATGGATAAAACAGATCAGAAAGAAAGGATAAGACGGATGAGATGGATAAGTACTTTATGATGAATAAAAGGGTGAATGGAAGGATGGATAAGACGGATCGGACGTGCAAGAAGATTGAGTAATGATGAGGTTGATTGGAATGTAATGAATAAGACGATAAGTATGAGAAATGTGATAATTGTATAAGGTTTGGTTAAATGAGAGAATGGAAAGATATAAGATGTATAATCCAGAAAATAATTTGGATGAGAAGGATGGGAAAAGTAAGAAAGATAGAAAGGAGTGCAATGATGGAATAGATGGAAATTAAGATAAAAATGATGGAAGGATGAAGGTTGGGAATAATAATAGTAATAGAAATATTGAAGTACATGTAGTGATCCAGTGTTTATAATTAAAACTTACAATATGGTAAGGTTTTATTGGGAAGATGCAAGGATGATGAGAGACCCCAGGATACAAATATCTAAAAAATCAAATTTTATTTTTATTCCATATATACATATTTTTTGTTGCCTTGTCTGTTTGTTTGTGTCCGATAAACGTCAATACGACTGAATTATGGATCAGGAAAGTTAAATGGCGGTCAGAATTATCAAATTTCGCATAAACAAATTTCAATCTGTAAAAAAAAACAATGAAAAATTAAAAACTCCGAAATTTTTTAATGTTATTGTATTGCATATACTTTCAGTATAAAAAACTATTTAATTCGAATACCTGCAATTCAATAAAAGAATTAAGCCAAACCACCCGGAGAGCAGGACCTAGGTAAACGTGTCCAGGTTAACCCTAGTGAAACTAGAGAAGGGGAAGGGGCCGAGGGGGAGGATATTCCTCATTTTCGAATTTTAGAAATAGCTTAATAATTATTTATCAATGTAACAAATATTTCTAATAAATAATAAACTGGACCTAACCTTAACTAAACTAACCTTAACTAAACTAACCTTAACTAAACTAACCTTAACTAAACTAACACTATCAACTAAAAAACATTAATAGACAAAACTAAAGAGTTTGTTTTAACTTAAAAGGGAACAAAACTAAAGGGACTGTTAACGGAATAGACATTCAGGTTCAGGAACTTTGAACAAGATGGACAAAAATAAAGGGACTATTATTGAAATAGACATTCAGGTTAAGGGGTTTGTTAACTTAATGTAAAAACGAAGGAACTGTTATTTTAATGGAAAAATTTAATGGACTTTAAAGGAATAGACAAAAAACGGATTTTGAACTCGGGGGACTTAATTTAATTGACAAAATCAAGGAAACTGTTAATTTCAGAACAAAATTAATGAATAAAAAATAAAAAAAACTAAATAGACTGAAAATTATGATAACTTATTGAACAAAATTTAAAACTCCAAGTATACCATAAGTCCGCTGTAGTAAGGCCAATCTTCATATCTGGATAAATTACTCAGGCTAACAATCCTAAAATTAGCAAAAACATTCTTGCATCAATAAAGACAAAAAAAATTAAAATTCAAACATAATTTTTTGCTTTGAACATTATTAAAAATCATATATCTGTTTTTTTTTAAATTGTAATCTGTGTTTCTATGTCTGTTTGTATGTGCAATCACAGCACCATCCTGAACCCTTTGACCGATATTTGCCACAAAGTTTAGATGGGGCACTAGGTACAGGGTGTCCCAAAAAACATGGGAATTCAGTGACGAATTCGATATCGTCTTTGTTATGAATTAGCATTGTAATACCTAATTTCAAAAGCCATAATATTCTTATGTCTGCTAGAGTTTATTTTATGAAAAGTGTATAAGACTGTAAAGATGAGTCTAATATCTCTACAAGATGAACAGTGAAGACGGACAAGTTTACTCTGTTTGTATACTGCAATTTTCTTGTTTTACTAAGTACAACCATATGCAGTAAAAACATAAACAAACAAAATGTGAACATAGCAGACGAAACTCTTACAGATGATAGCTTTCTGAGTAGGTATCACTATACTAAATCAAAGAATTATTTAAAAAGACGATATCGAATTCGTCACTGAATTCCCATGTTTATTGTGACACTCTGTAGATCCATAAGAATTCTTTTAGCTTGACTAAAAAATTCTAAGTTTGGTACAGTGAAACCCTTAATAACGAATACATCGAAAGAATTCATCAAATGTCGTATTCTTCACTTTCCGATAATGGAATGTTGCAGATATTTAGTTTTTTAATTAAATGATTGTATGGAACTCTTTAAAACTGTTCCCGCATATTCATGGCTATTTAGTTATTTTCGCAAATAGTAAAATTTTCGTAATATAGTAAAAAACTCATTGAAAAATAGTCAAGACGACATTTGATAAATTCTTCCGATGTATTCGGTATTAAGGGTTTCACTGTAGATTGATTATATTTTTTTGAGGAAAAGCTGGGTTTCTAAGCTAGTGCTAAATCACATTATTTAAATTTTGTTCTCCCTTCCTTCCCCTTTTTATTTTTCCCAATTCCCTTCCCTTTTATTTCCATCTTTTCCTCATTTCTCCAAGCTTCCCCTTCCCTCTACCCCCTTTCTTCACCAGACCCCTACTCCCTTTTCTCCTCCCGACCCCTACCCGCTCCCTTTCTCCTCCTACTCCCTTCTCTCCTCCTTCTTCCCCTTTTCTTCCCCTTTTCTCCCCCTTTTCTCCTCCCCCCCCCCCACCGACAGTGTATCTGTAAATTGGAATGCCTGACTATTGTGTAATGAGACTAATGGAATCTCCAGGTATTTCAGGTCTTCAGCCAAAATATAATAATTCAGGCAGTCAGATGCATTAATCTAATTCAACCCAATCATTATAATGAGTCACAGTATTCAAAGAGTTTATCACAATTTAATAAATAACTCAACAGAAATATTTGTTTGGTTTATCGAATTGTTTTTTTGATACTTTATTCAGAGCAGTTACACCCTTGAATACTCTTTCGGATTTGGTCAATTTTCAGATAAAAAAAGGATAATTTGATCATCTTTCCTCAGATAATTGGGTTTCAGGGATTCCGTTGTGAATCTGAGATGTCACCCTTAAGATGGGAGGTCACTTGATATTGCGTCAACATTCCCTTTAATGAATATTCGCTTGATTGAACATTTAGATTAAAAATAATTCCTTGAACAGATATTAAACAGAGAGAACAACATGGTAGTTAGTTACTCAAATTAACATTTTTTGCTACGTTTTTAGCTGACTTTTACTTCGCAAAAAATTAATATTCTTTGATTGCAAATAAACATATACGCGAATTTCAAACAATATTAGTCACAAAGAGAAAGAAACACAAACTGCGAACTAGATTTACGAAAAATGAACATGCAGATTCGGTTTTAGGTTGGATTTATTTTCTAACTAGAAAGAAAAAGAGAAAGACGAATTCGCCAAACTAAAACGGAAGGAAAAGATCTAGATAGAAAACAAATTCAACCTTATTGAGTACTTACATAAAGGAATAAAGCTGTCCAGAGCTATAAGACTTCGATTTTAAGCGATTTAACTTTTCACGAATATTCGAGAGGCGAGATATTTTATTAACTAAGTACGAACAAGCTCTGTGTTGACCGAAGAAAGACCATTCGAGAAGAACGTGAACGATAGTTCTATATCCGCACTAATTCAAGAATTAGAGTTTGGATTCAACAGATATTAGCGTTCGGACTCAACAGGGGGGCATTGATATTTAAATTGCAAAAGGGTGGCATTGATTATTTGCGAATGTAAAGAATCTAAAAATTAAGCATCTTTTTTTTCATTGTGGACAAAGAAGTTGATTCTTTGCCATAAACTCTGATTTTCTAATCCCTATATCTTTCAAACCCAATGTCGTAAACCTTTGATATTTCAAACTTATGTTATTTGATCTAACAGAAGTCATAGTTTGAAATTTTAAAGGTCTACGACATTGGAATGCAAAGATATTGGGATTAGAAAATTAGAGTTTGTTGCAAAGGCTCAATTCTTTTAGAAAACCATTTGAGTTTTAAGAATAACTCCGTTGTGTTCTTAATTCCAAATAGTGTAATAGTTTGTGTTTAGACTTCTAAAAAGGAATAATCCCTTGTAGATGGAAACAGTTGAGTAAAGATATATTGAGTTGTGTCCTGTCTATTTTATCTTTGATTTCATGGTTTAGTTACCTCCAGACTGCTAAAGCTGTAGCTATACACCCAGAGCAGAGTTGAACCAGGGTTAGGAGAATACCAATCCTCTCTCTCTCTACCACACCAGGTAGATACTTTCTAGGTACTAAACATACATAGGTACTTTCTAGGTTATAAACATACAGAGGTACTTTATAGATACTTAACATACAGAGGTACTTTCTAGGTACTAAACATAGATATGTGCTTTCTAGGTACTAAACATTCATAGGTACTTTCTAGGTTCTAAACATACAGAGGTACTTTATAGGTACTAAACATACATAGGTACTTTCTAGGTACTAAACATACAAAGGTACTTTCTACGTAGTAAACATGAATAGATACTTTCTAGGTACTAAACATACAGAGGTACTTTCTAGATAGTAAACATAAATAGATACTTTCTAGGTACTTAACATATATAGGTACTTTCTAGGTATTTAACATAAGTACTTTATCCTAAACACAGATAGGTAATTTCTAGATAATAGAAATGCATGGGTATTTCAAGTGACTGAACACTCTCTGGGTAAAATATATACATACACATAAAGTATTTTGTTTATTAGTTGACACAAAACTAACTAAAGAATTTTACTTTCAAGAGTTTTGAATTTGAAGAGCATGTGTATTCACTGAAAACTCCCGTTCAATTGAAGTACCGGATTATATTTTCAGCAGAACTAGAGCAAAGTTTGTATATAAACTATCGAGGGTAGAACGGGACGGTACACCAAATAAATTATTTTCTTCTCAACATTAATGTTTATTGTTTACCTGTACCATCTTTAACTAACACCAGGAGTCGAGATCTCCGCAATGAAGATCTAAACATGAAAAGTTTAAAATAGAAAACTAAAAAAAGTAGAAAAATTAATTTTATCTTTTTACTGCTGACATCTACGCTCAATTTAGTAAAACGAGTTGCAAGACAAATGGCTTAAGATATGATTGCTTCAAAGCATGAATTAATCATCATTTTAGATTGTTTTGTTGCGCGCAAAGTAATATAAATATTTATGTAAGGTGGCATTTTCCAAATAGATTATCAAGTACAATAGGTGGCAACAGAGAAATGAACCAATTATACATCATGTCACAAGTTTCAAATATAACAAGGAAAAGGAAATTTTCTCAAATTAGTTTACTTGTTTTCCAAGATTAAATAAAAAAGTGTAAAAACAGAAACTGAAGAACACATAAAATTGCACTTATTTTACTGTAAGAAAAGCACTTTATTCTAAAATTATCACTATTATTGATGATCTTGTCGGACAGAAAAACTGAATTGACACTTGTGACGACAGAATACAGCTGTACTGAGAGTGTACAAATTCTACGTTGCCATCTATTGTACTAGAATCTATTTGGCATTTTCATGTCAAAGATGGAAAACACTTAGAAATATTTATAACCAGTGCCTCTCATAAGTTTCCATTTTCACGAGTTTTAAAGGGACTGTTCAAGTAATTTTAAGTGACCCTAGATCAAAAGATGGCAGTACCCGATTTTCAAAAATACCATTGAAATTTTTGACTGATAAATAATGTATTATGTCTATCTTTTTGTTACGCATTTCTTGTTTTTAAAAAACATAGGAGAAATTATCTGAATTTAACACTTTTCTAATTAAAAAAAACGATGTTATCTCCCAGTTTTTTGATCAGATAAGCATTAAAGGGTGCCGTTGTGAATCGACATTGCTACCTTAAAAATGATTAAAACTTTATTATTGTTTACCTAGTAGGGTAGTGCCTTGAACCTAACTGCCTGGATACCAAGGATTGAGGAACTGTTGTGTAATGCATTGTTACCTAAAAGTAATAATGATAACTTTAACATGATGATGATCAAATGATAAAAATGAAAACAATAATAATAAAGATGATTAAGCTATAATATATAATCTCTATAGACATGACTTGTAATTGTACCGTACAAGCAAAACACGCCAAACATGAAAATGAAGATTTGCCTGCTGACATTGCTTTTTGCAATATCCCTTGTTTGTTTTTACATCCCATTTAAAGGAACTGTATGCATAATTTCAAGTGACCCTCCATGCAAAACTGGCAATGTCCGATTCACAACTTCCTTTATCTAAACAATAATGTGGAAGATATTGTAATTGTCTAGGTTTAAAATTGTTAAATTCTGATAACTCTTGTTTTCCAACAGTAGAAATGCGCACGACACTTTTAAAAAGAATCCAAAATTGAAATTATCAGTTTTTAAAATTATAAACATTGCCATATTTACACTTGAGTTTTTTCCCTGTTTTTTTTTAACACCCTGTCTCTAAGTTCGTGATAAATATTGTGTATCAGGTTTTATTGTTGAAATAACATATTCATGTTGATCTCAGATCTTCTAAACACAAATCTATTGATTTAGAGACGCTAGTCATGGTTTGCTCTGTAATTCATCATCTTTTTAGCCGCCAAGTCGAGTCTTCTAAATTTTGTTATTCCCAAGTATTATTCTTGTAATAATATTTGGTTTCTGATCTATCTGCTGACTGCTCTTCAAATGATAAAAAGAAAAAATGTTCTTCGCAGATTTGAAAATCTACTTTAGACCGAAATCCTTGAGATGCAAAAATGTGTAACTAAGATGTTCAATAACCCTTGGCGTTTATCGGATACAAACAAGCGCAGAGACAAAAACAGACTTTATACTCCTCGTTTTATTGTCCCGAGTAACTTTAACCTGGTCAAAGGGTTTATTTTAGAAATTGTGTACATGCAGGGCGACATAAACAGCCTTGGAATTGGAGGACGACATTTTAACAGTCTGATTTATTTGAATTAAATGTTGTTATAATGACAAAAATCATTTTACAGAACTGGCTTGAGATCGTATTTAATTAAATGAGTCTGTGTTAAGTGACTGTTGACAAGTCACTGTGAAATTTTAACTTAAGTCTATTCCACAGAATTATGGACCCCTCTGCATATTCCAATTAAAAGTATTAAACCTTACTATGTGCTCTCTGAAGAGGTCCAGGGGGTGGGCTGTATATTCCTGACTATGTGCTCTCTGAAGAGGTCCAGGGGGTGGGCTGTATATACATGACTATGTGCTCTGTGAAGAAGTCCAGGGGGTGGGCTGTATATACCTGACTATGTGCTCTCTGAAGAAGTCCAGGGGGTAGGCTGTATATACCTGACAATGTGCTCTGTGAAGAGGTCCAGGGGGTGGGCTGTATATACCTGACTATGTGCTCTGTGAAGAGGTCCAGGGGGTGGGCTGTATATACCTGACTATGTGCTCTGTGAAGAAGTCCAGGGGGTGGGCTGTATATACCTGACTATGTGCTCTCTGAAGAAGTCCAGGGGGTGGGCTGTATATATCCTGATCTACTATAAAATCACATCTTCATCCACAAATTCGATCCAAACCTCACATATTAGTTTTATGCATATCCTTGTTCAGATCTGCATTAATATGGAGATATATACAGGGTGTTAATATGGAGATATATACAGGGTGTCAATATAGAGATATATAAAGGGTGACAATATGGATATATATACAGGGTGTCAATACGGAGATATATACAGGGTGTAAATTTGGAGATATATACAGGATGTCAATATGGAGATATATACAGGGTGTAAATATGTATATACAGGGTGTAAATATGGAGATATATACAGGGTGTAAATATGGAGATATATACAGTTTGTCAATATAGAGATATATACAGGGTGTAAATATGGAGATATATACAGTTTGTCAATATAGAGATATATACAGGGTGTAAATATGGAGATATGTACAGGGATGACAATATGGAGATATATACACGGTGTTAATATGGAGACTGCATATACAGGGTTTTAAGAAAATGAAAAGAACTAATATCAATTTCAAATCATTCTTCAATGATAAATGTTAAAATTAAATTTAAATTAACCATTAGCTTGAATGATGTAAAAAATTCCTTTAATTTCGCTCCACTCTAAAACTATTTTGAGTATTTAGGTTAATAATGAGTTTTTCAATTGTCTTCAAAAATTTAAATTATATAAACTATGCAACAATAGCATTCATTAATTTACATTGTGATATCCTTATGACATTTGCATAATATCAGAGCCATCATTGTATCTATCAATGCACAGTTCACATGCTCCGATAGGATCTTATCATTACATACAGGGTGTCCTACGAAACATGAGAGTAGCAAAATGATTTGAAAGTCGTCTTTGATATTGGAATTTATTTGAGACATGCAGCGTCACCTTCTTTCACTTCAATGATTAAATTAACAGTGACCATTCGCCTAGATTTGGTACTTCCAAAATGTGGTCTGCCTTTTAATGTGCTGTCAATATTACCAGAGATATTGAGAATTTCGTTCCGATTTAAATTTATTAAATAAATTCAAAATTGTCGAAATCGGAACAAAAATCTTCATATATCCGTTGAAGCACAAAAAAGCAGACCACATTTTGGAAACGCCAAGACTAGAGGTATTTTGTGTTATTAACTCTAGAATTTTACTTTTAAAATTTCTTTACGAATACATGTCGTAAATTATTTCAAAGATCAAAGACGACCTTTAATTCGTCTTGCTACTTCCATGTTTTTATTGGGACACCCTGTACATGGATCACTTTGTATATTATATATACATATATATACATCTGGTTCTATAGGGCGGATGCAAAGATGAACTCACGAATTTATTCACTGTGTCCTGAGGCTCAATTCACAAAGAAAAACTGTGAAGTAGTGACTAGTGCCGGATTTGAGTTAAGTATTGCCGGATTTGAGTTAATTAATAACGGATTGAAGTTTGTAATACCGGATTTGAGTTGAATATTTCCGGATTTAAGAAAAGTATTCCCGGATTTAAGTTAAGTAGTATCATATCTGAACCGGAAAGAATAAGATTAGAGTAAAAAACGATTTAGAAATAGTAGTAAAGAATTTAGGAAGTAACGTAAAACCGGATTAAACCATAGTAAGTTGAGTAAAATAGAACCGGATTTAACCATAGTAATTTGAGTAAAATAGCACCGGATTATACGATATTAATTTGAGTAAAATAAAACCGGATTTAACTAAAGAAACCCCAGATTTAAGAAACACCGAATATATGGATGATATACAAAACAGAATTTAACCAAACAAAAAACGGATTTGAAGAAAGTAAAACTGGATTTGTGGATGATTAAACCTGGTGAATATCTGTGCACCCTGCTCCTTTTAACATCCGGGGATATAAGGGGTCGATCCGGGGATACACTGTGCCGAGATATCCGGTTCTATACAACCAATATCCGGGTTATTCATACAAATCAAATTCCACTAATTACAAACAATTTATAGATTTGATTTAATGACTCATAAAACAAATATTGACGATAATTTATGCTCTCCGTGCATAGAATCGAACTAATTTTAATTGTATGCATTATATCATTATATGTGTTAACTGTACACTGTACAGAGTTATTCATTAAAAATTAGACGACTGTGCAGAAATTATTTTTTCATATTTTATTATCAGCTGGAACTTTATTAATTATATAACATTACAAAACTTTTTTAGTAGTTTCATCAAATTAAACCTTCAGATATTTAATCAAAGTCTCATTCTTTGTGGATAACCCTATATATCAATTTGTAATTTATTCTGAATTATATTGGTTGTTTCCTTATGTTTATTTGGAAGTGGAAGCGTACTGCTGCTGTACATATCCTTTCTACAACTTGACGTTCTCATCCTTTCTTTCCAGATTAATTCAGGTTCATTTTCCTTTCTCCTTTCTTCATCTTTCATGCTTTCCTTTCCATCCTTGCATCCGAGTGAACTAATGTTGTGAAAACTGTTCGATCTAAAAAAATAGTTGGAAACTTAAATTTTTTTTTCTCGGTTTAGTCAAGGTTATAATGCAAGAAAAGTTATTTCAGAGGTGTACGCGTCTTTTGTACTGCAGTTTACTACTGTCTTTGGACGGTAATGTTAACACAAGACGGATGTTACAGCCTGACATGGGATCCATCTTTCACATAAAAAATCAATGAAATATTCTGGTCAAATTTCAATGCTTTTATCCTCCTCGGACACTAAACAAATACAGATGCGTCTATTTTTGTTTACAAATTCCGCCCAGATAGAACTGGTTTCAATATGTACGCAGAGTATACGCAACTGCAATTAACTTTCCTTGCATTTTCTCATTTTGTTTATCAACTAGAACGAAGTCTTAAGCGTTGTGAGATTATGGATTAAAGTTTAACACTTAAATTAATTTCTTCCTTTTCAAAGTATGCAATTTTTAGTGAAAACAAAATTAAGAACTTTTGGATTATAATAATTTGTTGATTTTTTGACACCCTGCTCTAATTATATTTTGCTAATCTCATTCTGCAACAGATTGTTAAAATCTTTTTGCAGTTTTTCACTTCTATAGTTGGACGATTAAAAAAGATGACAAGCTTAGAAATTAGTTCTGAATAGAGCAGAATAAAACAGAATAGAATATATACAGCTATCTCTTCTCTTCTCTTTCATGCATCAATATAGATTTAAATCCATACAAAACAAGTATTCTTTTCATCTTTGCATTTTCAATATAATTTGTAATAATTATGGTAAAGGAATTAAGTTTTTGTCACAAATTCTAATTTTTTAATCCATATACCTTTGTAACCTGATGGTGTAAACTTTCGTTATTTCAAACTTAAATAATTTAATTCAATAAAATTCATAGTCTAAAATATCTAAGGTCTGCGACAGTGGGTTGTAAAGATTAGAAAATCAGAGATTGTGGCTAGGACTCAATTCCTTTATAAAGGATCCTACTTTTTTAGCCATATCTCAAAAAAATATTTTACAGCTGTTCAATTCAATTTCATCTCAAAGTCATAGCCATGGACTATTTTGAGAAAAGCCACATTAAATACTTTTTTTTGAAAATAATTTATGAAATAAAACTGAGAAATTTAAGAATTAGAAAGAACTCCGAAAGAGAAGTTTATTTTACAAGCTTATAAAAAGATTAGATTTGTTTTATCTCTGGCTTAAATATGAATGATTTATTCTTTATTAGAATTCTAAAAGATTAAAAAAGCACTAAAACTTCAAATAAATGTTGATATTATTTAAATAAATAAGAAAGAAAGAAATTCTATCACAAATATTTTTTCAAATGTTAAATTTTTAAACAAAAAAATGACTGAACTGTGTACAGTTTAACATTGTACTGAACAGTGTACAATTTTAGATATCAAAAGTGTAATGAAGGGAGTGCAATTTATACTGTATAATAAACAATGTACAGACGTGTACAATTTAAACAGAGCCCGAAATTTAAAAGAGTATCGTTGAAAGAAACTCCCGAGTTTCCTTTTTGGGGTCTTAACATTTGTGTAGATTTTTATTTAAGAGATTTAAAAAAAATGGAGAATATGGAGAAATAAAATAAAATAATATTTCATCACAAAAATATTGATATCCACAAAACTACCTAACCCCAGTCGTGAAACCCGGGTTCAAAAACTGGTTTTCATAATGATACCCTGTCTTAAGTTTCAGGCTCTGGTCTCTGCACAACACAGCTTAAACTCAGTTGTACAGTTGTACAGCTTAAACTATACTGTGTTAGTTGTAAAAAAACACCTTATAACTTAAACTGTACACTGTACAATTCACTTTAAACTGTACAATGTACAGTGTACAGTTACCTGTTTCTATCTGATTGTACGCTTGGTGACATCATCACAATTAATTGTTTATCTAAATATGCATTTTTCTATCTTTCTATCTAACAAAAGATCCTCATTATCTTTAATCTGAAAATATAAATTATAAAAACAAAACTTGTTGACAACTGAGAATGAATCAATATTTGTACATTGATTTGTCTAGTGTTATAGAAGACTGATATTTAATTTACTTAAAGGGACTCTGTACGCATAATTTCAAGAAAAGAAGGTCATGGCAGATTCACAACGGTACCCGTTCAACCTTGGACAGATTAGGAATGATAACAACTACATATTCGCAAAACTAAAACTTTTCAGAAAAAGTGCAAAACCTTTAACAAAAGTGCTGAACAATATTTTATCTTATATATCTTTATATTCTGATAGTGTAAACCTTCTTATATTTCATATTTCATGTTTCATATTGCATTATATAGTTTTTTTGTGTTATGTACAAAACAAATGAATTCATTAAAGCTGATTTATTTTCCAAAGTTTGAAATTGATGGGTTTAATGCTCTATGGCAGTCTGCAGAAAGAAGAGTTAAAGCAACGTAAATCTTATTCTTTGTCACGCTATATAATTAGATGCAATCTCATGCTGCTAAGGGATTTGTCACGAAAAACCAGAGGGATGTAACTTAATATTTTAGAATTCATATATAATTTTAAATGTATGTACAAACAGATTGCTGAAGTAGGACAGCTAAAATAAAATACGTTGGACGTTTTCATTGAAAATAATTAAAGTAAAAATTTCTTCAACCTATGAAAAATTTGTAAACATCCCATCCGGATTTTGAAAAAATAAATCCCTTGAAGAAAGAATGTCCAAAATATTTAATAGGCTGAAGCATAAACATTAAACAGGAAGTCTGGATGTTTAGAGAAAAAATAACAGGATAAATCTTAAACATAGATAGTTTAATAGACAGTTAGAATATAGGTTTTTCAATAGTTGAATAGGTAGATAGTTTAATAGACAGATAGTTGAATAGGTAACTAGTTACATAGATAGCTAGTTGAATAAGTAACTAGTTAAATAGATAGCTAGTTGAATAGATAACTAGTAAAATAGTTGAATAGTTAAATAGACAGTAAAATAGATAGATAGTTAAATGGTTAGGTAACTGAAAAATTAAACTATGTATTTATAAAGATAGATAGATAATTGAATTGATAGATAGTTGAATTGATAGATAGTTGAATAGATAGATAGTTGAATAGATTGATAGTTAAATAGATAGATAGTTGAATAGGTAAAAAGTTAAATAGATAAATAGTTGAATAGATGTATAGTTGAATAGATATATAGTTGAATAGATAGATAGTTGAACAGATAGAGAGTTGAATAGATAGAGAGTTGAATAGATATATAGTTGAATAAATAATAGTTGAATAGATAGAGAGTTGAATATATATATAGTTGAATAGATATATAGTTGAATAAATAATAGTTGAATAGATAGAGAGTTGAACAGATAGAGAGTTGAATAGATAGAAGGTTAAACAGATAGATAGTTAAATAGATATAAAGTTGAATAGATAGATAGTTAAATAGGTAAAAAGTTGAATTGATATATAGTTGAATAGGAAGATAGTTTAATAGATAGAGAGTTGAATATAAAGATAGTTGATTAGATACATAGATAGTTGAATAGATACATAGATAGATAGTTGAATAGATACATAGATAGATAGTTGAATGGATACATAGATAGATAATTGAATAGATGTATAGTTAAATGGTTAAGGAACTGAAAAATCAGTCTGTGTATCTATTAGGACTCGTTATAAATCAAAAAGAAGGAAACGCGTCATATGAAATTTGTTTATATTTCCGCTGCAAATCAGCCAAGACCTCTTCTTTTAGCTAGGTTGCGAAATAGCTAGCTGGCTTAATAAAACCATTAAGTAAAGCCCGGATAGCTTTATAGCTAAATAGCTATCAAATAAGTTTATTGCATACATACAAGTCTAAATAATCAAATCGTTTTTAATATATTAATCAAGACCAATAGTTTATTAGCTATAGTATCAGACATGAATTGCTAAAGGACACAGCTTATCAGTTAGATAGCGAGAGAAAAGCAATTCACATAGCAAAAAAAAAGCTGTAAAGTAAGAAAGAAAGGTACCAAATAAATAGCTATTATTTACTAGCTTGGTATCAACAAAACATATTTTTCTAGCTAGACAAATAAGGAGATCTTTAGATAAATAGATGGAAAGATGAATCACTTGATAGCTAGATAGAAATATGAACAGTTAGATAGCTATTGCTAAATCTATTAAATTTACTACTGAAAACATGTGTGAGTGTTAGGTTTAGACATTGTTCATTAAATTCAAATAGATTCTAGTAAAATAGATGGCAACGTAGAATTTGTACACTCCCAGTACAGTTGTATTCTGTCGTCACAAGTGTCAATTCAGTTTTTGTGTCCGACAAAATCATCAATAATAGTGATAATTTTAGAATAAAGTGCTTTTCTTACAGTAAAATAAGTGCAATTTAATGTGTTCTTTAGTTTCTGTTTTTACACTTTTTTATTTCATCTTGGGAAACATGTCAACTAATTTGAGAAAATTTCGTTTTCCTTGTTATATTTGACACTTGTGACGTAGCGTATAATAGGTTGATTTCTCTGTTGCCACCTGTTGTACTTGATAATCTATTTGATTAAATTAATTTCGTCCTACTTTTTACCAATTTTTAAAAAATAAATAGAAATATGAATGGAACAAAAAAAAATTTCACACGTTATTTTTTTAGATTTTTGAGGGCCCCCTAGGCTAAACAGGGTTAGATGAATTTGGTATAAATTCAATACGTTTAGGTCTAGCATTCAGCCATCTTTGTAGAACTGTCTTATGTAACTTCTAAACCGTAAACAGTAAAAAAAGAAAAGTTTTAGTTGAATTTGTCAAATTGTTGCAAGGACAGGGACCCAACTATTAAATCTGATTAAAGGGACTGTTAACATAATTTTAAGTGACCTTCCATTTATAGCCAGAGTGGGATGTCCGATTCAGAACGGTACTCTTTAAACCTACATCTGAACAACAATGAGAAAGCTATTTATTTATTCAGGAAAATTTCTCACATTTTCCTTATTGTCTTTGCTGCAGAAATCTCCAGGTAATTTTTATAGTGAAACAATATTTGGAGTTAATCAATATTCAAACTGAAAAACAAGCATATTTCATCCATCATTGACCAAAAAAAGGTTCATAGCAAACTGCTCTTTAAATAAAGGTGCACATCAAATTACGCGAACAGTCCCTTTAAAAACTGGTTTTGAGTATTCGCGAAAATGAATGTTTAAATAGAAGCGTGCCCAGCCCTACTATTGAGGGTGTGAATCTGGGTGGGTGGAGTATAGTAACTAATACTTTTCTCCTGCCAGCTCATAACACTAAAACTGAAGGAGCCAGGAGGGGGGGGGGGGCAAAATCAACAATATATTTACAAACAGATCACACGGGTAATGCCTATAATATAAGTTGGGTTAACCCCCTAAAACTCATAAAAAATCTCGATTTATATTTAAGAGTTAATTAGGTTTACAAATTAGTGAAATGTCCAATAGCAGAAAGCCTAAAAAAGGTGATCGTCCTAAAGTATGGTATGAAAACGAAGCAGCTCTTGCTAATGACAACCAAAATAAAAAAAGAATGTATACAGGGGCCAGGGCACAGGGGGGGAGGGGGGGGGGGAAGTCTTAAACTTTTTACAGACTAACAAAATAATCAATGCGTTTTAAATAAAAAACCTTGAAGCACTTTTCTTTCTTCTCGTTATTAAAAATGACGATGTATTAGCGTACTGTTATTGGTTTCAAATTTTAAAAAATGACTTGGATTTTAAAAGTGAAGTTAGACGCAATTTGTGGGATTTTCTTATTGTTGTATTTCTACTAAAAAGAAATATTGAAAATCATTAAGAATCTTTATGTTTCTAAGCTGAAGTAAAAGAAGCTGCTATTGAAATATTATAAAGAGAACCAACCTTACTTCACAACGATACCCTTTATACCTTTATTTAATCAATAATTAGAAGATATTGACGGGTTTTTTGGCTTGTAAAGTGTATTCTGTTGCAAGAATTCCACAAGTCACTTTTATAAATAAACAACAATGGAAAATGTTCATTTTTTAAAGAGCAATCATGAAAATGAGACAAAGTTTAAAGGGATTGTTAATGTAAATCGGACATGCAACTATACAACTAGTGGGTCTTTCATAATACGCTTACAGTCCCTTTAATCATTTCATGCAATTAAAATCAAGAATTAACTAACAAAAACTGCATTTTTCTTTGTTTCAAGATTCTGCATTGTTTGGTGCTGTATATCAACACAAGACTGAAATTGCCTGGAGCTGTTTAATGTCAGTGTGCAAAAAAGAATCTGCATATTGCAGAAATTGGTTTGCATGATGCGAAGGCGTCTAACTCTTATTTATAATTTCCCGTGTTTCTGCAGTCTCATTTTTACTTCCGATCTTAGTTCTTTTTTTATCTAGCCCTTTTTCAAATCAAAATTCGTCCCCACCCCCTCTTCCTCCGGGTCGTAACATCTTACATCAATTATGATTTTTTTACTCAAAATCATTTTTCTTTAACCTTCGAATTTTCACACAAATCACATTTAATACATTGATACCGACATCGTTTAAATCTCTAAAATGGTTTTTTGGCTGGATGCTCTTAACCAAGTTAAGAATTTTTTGTTGTTTTTTGTTCAATTTTTTTGAAAAATTCTTTATTTGTAAAATAAATTTGATTTTTGCTAAATGGGTTAAATATATGTTGGGACCATATTTTAGGAACAGCACAAATTAGTTGAATAGCTAAGATTATTTTGAACCCCTTCTCTTTAAATCAAACTGACAAATCTTCTCGTGGTTTAAGTTAGTTAACGTAGTTCATCAACTTCTCGCTGTTAATTAGTTTTGGTCCATGGACGCATATTTATTTTTCTATTGTATTCATTTACTAGGATTTTTAGGTTTAATTAATTAATATTCTATTGAAATTTTTAATTGTAGCATCTTCTTTTTGTACAATATAAAACAATAG